CAGGCCTAGACTGGCCCCTGAAGGGCAGTTTGGAAGTGAGTGCCTGCCATCAGTATGTTTGCTCACTTGACTGTCCTACCCTAGATGCCGTTGCCAGTCCCGCTTGTCATTGTTTTCCAGCCGTGATCAGTGTGTGGTTGTGTGGGTTTGAGCTGCTCTTCAGGACACCACCCACCTCTCACATGGTGTTGGAGGTCCCAGCAGGGAATGTGGTCAGGTTCCCAAGAACCTTGTTCCAAGTCCAGCTGCTGCCGGCACTCTGGGGTCAGGGCTGGGGAGCTGCGTGTCCGCCCCGCCAGCTCCGGATGGCTTGGCCCTTCCTCTGAGGGTTTCCCAAGAGGAATGCCCTGTGGGACACACTTCAGGACACCCGACTCCCTGAACTCCCGAGGGGCCAGGGACTGGGCTATGTAGGACTTCCCAGGCGCTCCCGTGGGCTCCACCCACCAGCACCGGGCATGGATTGGTTCAATTGTATCTGTAAAGAAAGCAATTCACCTGAGAGCCTGCAACAAGAATTTCTTGGAAACAGCAAACCTGCGATTTTGGGACACACTTACTGTTCTGTGGTAGCTCTCTGTGTTATTCACAAAGCACGCAGCCCTACATCGATGACATTTCCCTCGGAAAGGGCAGGGTGGAGGTGGGGATGGGTGGCATTTTCCCTTGAGGCTCAGTGTGTTGGCTTGCACTGCGGGCACCAGGATTGTGTGTTTGTGTTGGCAACACCCAATGCCTGTCCATGGGAGAATGCGGGTGTAGCTGGAGCGTCTCCCCTATGATAAGGAGGATGTACCCCTCCATCCCTCCAGCTCTCATCTCGGTGCCGCCACCACCTCCTGCACCTCGTTTGTTCCTCTTCGGGTCCCCAAGGGCTTGGTCCTCCCACGTCCAGTCGGCCTTGCCCTCCTCCCATCCAGGGCTGAGTCACAACCCCTTGGTTGGATTCCCAGGTCTTTATCTCTGGACCTGCCCTGACATTTACTGCTGCTTTTCCAGACCCGCTCCTCGTTGTGGGAGGGAAACCCTATCCCAGCATTCCATGCGTCACATAGGAGAGTGAGAGATGCAGATGCTTGGGTCCCTCCCACACCTACTGGAATCAGAGTCTGCATTTTCAATATGTTTTTAAAAAGTATTTACTTGGGGCCTGACGCAGTAGTCTAATGGCTGGGGTCCTCACCTTTCACATGCCGGGTTCCCATACGGGCACTGGTTCTAATCCCAGTAGACCTGCCTTCCCATCCAGCTCCCTGCTTGTGGCCTGGGAAAGCAGTCAAGGACGGCCCAAAGCCTTAGGACCCTGTACCCACGTGGGAGAACTGGAAGAAGCTCCTGGCTTCGAATTGGCTCAGCTCTGACTGCTGCAGCCACTTGGGGAGTGAGTCGGCTAACAGCAGATCTTTCCTCTCTGTCTCTCCTCCTCTCTGTATATCTGGCTTTCCAATAAAAATAAATCTTTAAAAAAGTATTTATTTGAACAGAAGAGCAACAGAGACAGCATGAGAGGAGGGAAAGAAGGATGTTTCATTCACTGATTCACTCCCCAAATGCTCACAGTAACCAGAGCTCGGCCAGGCTGCAGCTGGGAGCCTGGGAACTCCATCTGGGCCTTCCATGTGGGCAGCAGGGCCTACCCAAGTCCCTGAGCTATCTTCTACTGCCTCCCAGGATACATTAACATGGAGCTAGATTGGAAGCAGAGAAGGTAGGTATCGAACTGGCACTCTGATGTGGCTTGTGAATATTCCAAGCTGCAGCTTAACCTGCTGTGCCGCAGTGCCCACTCTAGAGTCTGCTACTTAATTATTTCCCCAAGTGTTCTGTGTGCCCATAACAGAGTGAGAAGTCCTGGCTGCCAGCACCTGCGCTCTGCAGGACTGCCTTTTGTCCCACCCTCCACTGCCTGCCCCACCAGCCCCACCAGCCCCACCAGGCTGGTGTGTCCATCAGCTTGCGGTACAGCTTTTATGGGCTGCAGAACTTGGCGTTTCCTAGGCCCTTTTCCCACTCAGTCACTGACTCATGCAAATACTCACCGACTGCCTCCCAGACCTAGGCCTTGGTGAGCAAACCCCGACTTGATGCCTGCCCTGTGGAGTTTGTGTCTCGTGGGAGAGGCAGCTGCCACATTCAGTGCGAGGTTATGTGGTGCTAGAGCTTGCATCGCCATCCAGGGCTGAGCAGGACATCCTGGGAAGCCTTCCCGGAGGAGGCAAGGCTCTGCTGAGCACCTGGGGCTAGACAGGAGCTCCTCAAAGAGGAGCACAAAGAACATTGCAAACACAAGGAACACCTTGGGGTAAAGTCCCCGCCTGCAACTCTCACATCCCATTTGGGTTCCATTTTGGATCCTGGCTGCTCCACTTCTGAGCTAACTCCCTGCTGATGGCCTGGCCAAGTCCCTGGGCCCCTGCTGCACACTTAGGAGGTGCAGAAGAAGCTCCTGGCTCCTGTCTCCTGGCTCGGGCCAGCCCTGGATGTTGCAGCCGTGTACGGAGTGAGCCAGTAGATGAAAAGCTCTAGCTTTCTGTAACACATTCAACAATATATTTTTTTTTAATTAAAAAAGAAGGCTTTGCTCGAACAAGGGCCTGGCTCAGGAGGGAATTAGCACCAGGAACTCCTGCTCGCTCTCAGGACCTTTATCGTTCTCCACTCTGCTGCCAGACCCAGGGAGGTTCACGTCTGCACTCCTAGGCTGACATGTAGGGCTGCATCTCATGTGCTGGGTCGAGGCCTAGCCCTGTGGCCTCCCCTTCCCCCGGCATAGTCCCTTGGCCAATCCCAGCCCCAACCCTATCCTCGTTTGCGCAGGCCTTCAGAGTCCACCTTCCCGCGTCCCCTCTCCAGCCACCTGTGAGAACTCACTGCAAAAGCCAGTCTCCTTGCGCTCCGTGATTCAAAGTTCGGATTTTACACTGCACTGTTCTCTTGGTAAATGCGCTCATCTTTTTTCCTCCTCCTGTTCTTTTTTTTTTTTTTTAATAATTGTATTTCATTCTCTTTCTGTTTTTTTTTTTTTTTTTTTTAAATTGGAAAGTCAGATTACAGAGAGAAGGAGAGACAGAGAGAAAGATTTTCCATTTGCTGGTTCACTCCCCAAGCAGCCGCATCAAGCAAAGCTGAGCCGATCTGAAGCCAGGAGCTAGTTGCTTTGTCTTACCCTTCCGTTTGGGTGCAGGGTCCCAAGGTTTTGCTTTCCCAGGCCACAGGCAAGGAGCCAGAAGGGAAGTGGAGAAGCCAGGACTCGAACCAGTGCCCATATGGGATCCCAGCACATGCAAGGCGAAGACGTTAGCTATTAGGCTACCACCCGCTACCCACTACCCTCCCCCCCCCCGCCTGCCCTTATTATTTTTAGGAAGCTTGTTATTAAAATGTAGCACATATGCTAAAGTGTGTGACAGTTCCTGAGTGTAGAGCCGCTGGATTGTCACAGCGATGACACTGCTGACATTAGCACACACTTCAGGAAAGGACAGGAAGAGACCCCGTGCTCCTATCCCACTCCCTGCTCCCAGGCTCAACAACAGTCCTAGCTTCCATCGGTGTCAGCTTGGCCCACGTCTTAGCCATCTGTGAGTGGCCTCATTTTTAGGAACAGTGAGTTGAAAGAGAGCAGGTGGTCTGCCATGCCTGGCTCCTCTTGCAGCAGGCGGTGTTGAAGGGCTCCGTCGTGGTGTTTGCCGCAGGTGACAGCAGTTGCCTTGCTGCACTTGCTGGGTAGCACAACAGGGAGTGGCTCCAGCGCAGCAAGTGCCTCCTGCCGCTGGTGGGCACTGAGGCCTCCTCTCTGGTTTGGGACTGTTGGGGAGATGCTGGGATGAGCCTCCCTTGGGCAGAAGGCACATGTTCTTGCAAGGACACCCTGGGGATGCGATTGCTGGACCACAGAAACCGTGTGTGTTTTCCAGGTAGCCGCACTGGTACCTGTTCTCAGCCTGTCAGATCCAGTCATCCTGCTTTCTTCGGGGTTTTATGAGCCATAAATTGTAGCTTTTGGGGATGGGTCTGTGGGCCTGTTGCTTTGTGGTTTTCATTTCTCTGACTAGTAGTGCAGTCAGGAATTTGTTGCATTTTCCTTGCCATTCACTGTCAGTTAGCCTTTCTTTTATGAGTCAAGCACTCAGAATGAAGCACTCATATATTGTATTGTATTTGTGTATCAAATACCTTCTCCCACTCTGAGTTGCCTTCCTGTTCTTCTAAATAGCGTCTTGTCATGCATAGAGGTTGTTCATCTTAATATAGTCCAGTTTATCCATAACCTTTTTATATTTTTAAAAAGATTTATTTATTGGAAAGTCAGATATACAGAGAGGAAGAAGTTCTGTCCATTGATTCATTCCCCAAGTGGCCGCAGCGGCCAGAACTGAGCTGATCCGGAGCCTGGAGCTTCTTCCAGGTCTTGCTTGCAGGTGTAGGATCCCAACGCTTTGGACTGTCCTTGACTGCTTTCCCAGGCCACAAGCAGGAACCTGGATGGGAAGTGCAGCCACTGGGAAACAAACTGGTGCCTATATGGGATCCCGGTGCAATGTGAGGACTTTAGCCACTAGGCTATCACAGCAGGTCCCATAACCTTTTCATATTTTAAATTCTATTTCTGTCATATTTTGTTCTATGAAGCCTGAGGGCTAGAATACATGAATACCCAAAATTTTTCAAAGTAACAAGGAACTTAAAGGCTTGGGAAATACACCTTAGGAGAGGTAGACCAAGGAGACAGGGCACACAAATGAACAAGCCACATGGTTCTGTGAGCATGTTGCAATCCAGCACCGCATTTTGCTCAGTGCTCCTTACGCGTCAGACTTCAGGGGGGCGAGCGAGGTCCCTGGCCTGTTGGCTGATCCTCATCCCCAGGAGTTTTTTGTTCAGTAGCATGAGGCTCCAAGGCCGTGGCTGTGGCAGTGCTGGGTGGTCTGTGAGGCACATGGGCAGGCAGCGGGGGGCCGGCGCATCACAGAGCTGAGGGTCTCTGTCTCACACTGCAGGTTACTCAGCGATAGTGATGACCTCCCGGCTACGAGCGTTGGGTGGAAGAATTAACAATATCCGCACCGCCGAGCTGCCCAAAGAGAAAACACGATCCGAAGTCACCTGCAGCATCCGCTTCTTAGATGGCTCGGTACAGACCTTCAAAGTTAACGTAAGTTCCCCGTGGTACAGTGTTTTACAGGGTCTTTTTCCCCTAAAACAACTCATGCTCCGAAGGAATAGTTCTCTCCTCCTGGCCCAACACATGAAGGAAGGAACTTGAGATCTCTGCTTCTTGCCTGTGCTGAGATCAAGTGGGAAAGATTGGAAAACTTGGCTGGTGTTCTTGGCCTTAACCTGTGTGCTGGGAAACAGCAGATCCTCCTTGTGGCTACTCCATCCTTGAAGGCCTCATCCACTGGCCAAAGCAGAGTCACACTCTGATGAGGGGGTCCTGTGTTCACTTTCTCCGGGTCCACTTCGTGCTGCGTGTTGAAAAGCAGCCGTGGTTGTTGGGCTCCATGTCATCCGTTGTGCTGTGAGCCCTTGAGGACAGCCAGCCTATTTCTCCTGGGCAGCTGTCGCACAGTTGGTGCTATTGTGATGTGTAGAGCCTCCTGAGGAGTGAGAGACTGGCAGCCTCATGCATGGCATACAGTCTTACTCCTCAGCAATAGGTGCTTCTGTATAGTGCTTCCTGCCACCTGTACCACCCGAGGCACCACGTAGGCTCATGACCTTGGCTTGCTTCTCCTATCATCTGGCTAGTCCTCAAGGGATAAAGTCCAGTCCTGGACCTACTGCTAGTGTCCAGAAAGTCCAGCGTGCAAGGGAAGGTGGCACATAAAAATATGGGGGATGAGAGGAAAAACTGTAGGGAGAGGTGAGAAGCCACAGTTTATTTTAAAAATCTGACCTTGTCCACCTGCCCCCTACCAACCCCAGGCCTTGCTGCATGCCAGAGTACGGTAGGCAACCAGCACAACATGGCTGCCCGATGTGCCTCCGGCATCTCCTCATCAGGAGACGAAAACTCAAGTGCATGTTTAGTGTGGCCTTGAACAATAGCAACAGATATTTCTCAGTTTTCTGGCCCCCTTGCATGGTTACCAGTTGTTCCCCAGATCAGAACCTCAGACTGTATAGGCTGGAGATGCTTCTGTCCTCAGCAGGGAGATATTCCAGCCAGGGAGGGAATGAGCTGTCTGGTGAGGTAGCCCGTGATGAAGAGGGGCTGGGTCAGAAACCTGTCACTATTGCTGAAGCAGACAGGTGGGAGACAGACATCTCCCAGGGCAGGCTTTGCAGGACAGATGGTCTCTGCACTACCCCATACGGCAACTGTAGCCACACACAGCAGGCAGTGCATCTGGTAGACCTGAAGGACCCAACTTTGGATTTCATCTCAGTTCATTACAGCACAAAGAGGCCATGGGTCCTGCTTCAGACCAAACACTTCTCTTGTCAGAATCTTCCAGCAAGCCTGTTAGGACTCTGAATCCACTGTGCTACCTGGGTATGTTTTTTTTAAACATGTTTTTGAAATTTATTTGAAAAGTAGCATCACAAAGAGAGAAAGAGAACCTTGCATCTGCTGATTCACTCGCCAAATGGTTGCAACGACCAGCCTAAGTCAGGAGCCTGGAGCTTCTTCCAGGGCTCTCACGTGGCTACAGAGGCCCGAGCACTTGAGCTGCCATTCATTGCTTTCCCAGACAGAATAGGAAGCTGGGCCAGAAGTGGGAAGAGCCAAGACTACAACCAGCACCCATATAGGCTGCCAGCATCACAGGCAGAAGCCGAATCAGCTACCTCACAGTGGCGGCCCCCCTACCTGGGTGATTTTAAAACATGTTCTCTGAGGCAAGGTCGAGGCCTGGGAATCTGCGTTTTAACAGCACTGATGTGGTTTCCATGTGATTGGAGAATCAGTGATTGGGGTGATTTGTCAAGGTTGTACCCAGCACCCTGCAGGTGAAGTTGCTACAGTTGTACAGAATCTCATGTTTGATTTGCTCTTTAGCGTGTCTTCTGTAGAATGTTGTGAGATGAGACAGGCCTTACAAGGATTACAAGATGCCCTCTGAGAGACTGCAAACAGACAGCTTAGTGCCTGCATCCTTGGTGCAAGCTCGCTCCTCCACCTTTTCCCTCCCCCCCAAGAGCCATGAGTATTTACTAATATGAGGGTTTTAAAACTTTGTTTTGTTTTTAATTTATTTTTGATGATGTTTACATGGTTGATAGGGTAGAGAGTTGAAGATTTTTTTTCTTCTTCCTGGGTCTGGGAGAAGGGGAGAGGTAGGGAAGGAAGCTGCACCCAGCCTCCCAACTGCCTCAGTACCTGGGGATGGGTAAAGGCCACCCGGTATGAACCCAGACTCCCCAGTGTGGAGCATGCTCCAAGGGTTCTGCTCCAGTGGCTTCAATGGTTCTGAAATGCTTTTCTTCTCACTGCTCTAAGGATGAGGAAATCCTTTCAAGGTCCCTTGGCTGACATAGTCCACCTTAGAGTCTCCATTCACCCATGTATTTGCTGTCAACGTCTGGCTGAGGTACTTGACCAATTTGTTCTGTCCTCCTTCCATAGTACCATATGTCCCCTGCAGACCCCAGTGGACTGCCATATCCTCCGTGTGAGTTTGAGTATCCATCTGCTGCTCCATCCAAGCAACTGAGGAAGCCCAGTTCAGACACACCCACTGTATGGTCAGGACACAGATCCTGTGATTCTCCCTGTGGTTGGAGTTCTGAGTCCAGCAGTTCAGTTGGGGGGATCACCAAAGAAGCCTCATCTGATGTGAACCCAGATCTGACTCTTGTGTTTGCTTGTCATTGTGGGGTCCAGCTTAGTCTATCACCCAAATCAGCCTATGCATACACTGGTAGTTGCAATTGCTTAGTCTATCACCCAAATCAGCCTATGCATACACTGGTAGTTGCAATTGCTGCGACTCTAGCCCTGTCTCTTACATGAACCAGTGGGTGCTGTGGCCCAGCCCAACTCTGCCTACTACACACTCAGCCCTCATGTACACTAGTGGGAACTGTAGCCTAGTTGGAATGACCCCCAATAACCCAACTGGCCCGCCCTGGTTCCTATGCTTGCCAGTATGTGCAACAGACTGGTTCATTCTGTTCCCCATCTAATTCAGCTGTTGTAGACATTAGTGGTGTTGGAGCCTAGATCAACCCAACCGACCCCACTATCCAGCCTATACTCATGCTGGCAGGTGCTACCACCTGTCTAGCTAGAACCACTCCCAGCCCTAGTTCTCATGCTCACCAGAGGGAGTACTGCCCATCAGAGAGGTGCCCACTGTTGCCTTACTGAATTCACTCTGAGTCCTGGGTCTTGTACTTTCCAGGTTGTTTTGCAGTCTAATTTGATAGGATTTGCCTCACAGTCCCAGCTCTTGCCAGCTGATTCTAAGACAAAACCCAACTAGCCTGTTCTTATTCTGGCTCATACATGCACCAGTGGATAAAGTCAGTCAACCCAGCCTAGTTCTTACCTTAACCCAGTTCATATGCAGGTCAACAAGTGTTGTGGCCCTGCTCATCCCGATCTGACCCATCCCAGCTCTGATGCTCACCAGTGGGAGCAGTGGCCCAGCAGGCTCACATTACCCCCCATCCCCTGGTGGGTGCCACAGCCTAGTCTAGCATGGCCTACCTTGCCTCAGCATTTTCCGGCAAGTGCTGTAGCTTGACCCAGCCTGGTCTGCCCCTGATCAGCCTGGTCTAGCTCATGCTAGTGGGTGCTACAGCCTAGCCCAACCCAGCCAGTCCCCAGTGCCAACCCTCATGTGAACTCGTTGGTGTTGCAGCCTGACCCAGCTTGTCCTGTACCCTGTCCTGGTTGTCAGATCTGCCAGTGGGTGTTATAAACTGGCTCCTCCTGGTTCCCAGACCTGAGCTACACATATGCTGGTAGGTACTGTGTTCTGGCCTGGTCTGGGCTGCATCCAGCCCCTTGCATTCACCTGCAGAGTGCATCCTGACAAAGCAGTTCCCCAAGCTCCTCTATCAGATCTCCTCTCCATGGCAGATCTCGCTCACACTAGTAGGTCCTTGGCCCGACTTAGTCTACCTCTTGTCCTGGCAGGAACAGCAGCCCTGTGAAACTGGCCCACACCCATTCTAGTTCTTACTCTTGAATGTTACAGCCCAGCCACACCTGGTCCATATCCCTACATAGCTCTCGTGTGGTTCAGCGGAAGCCAAGACCTAGTCCAGCCCATTCTACACCTACCCAAGCTCTCACGAGCACCAGTGGGTGCTCGAGTAAAGCCTAGTCTGGCACACCCCAGACCCCTTCCACACCCATGCTGAGGTGTACTGCAATCATGTCCAGCCTGGATCACTGCCTCCCATTCTAGTTCTCACACTCACCAGTGGAAGCCACCACCCAACTGGGGTGTACCCTTAGCTTCTCAACCAGGCCTATTCTCAGCCACAGATCTTGTGCACCAGTGGTTGCTCTGACCCAGTTTGGTATACTCATCCCCCATCTTGGCATTTGCCATTGGATCCTGCAGCCTGGTCTGTCCCAACCCACCCCCACTCCCAACTCTCACTGGCAAGTGCTGCAGCCTAGCTCTGTCTAGTCTGCTCCCATCCCTGGCTTATGCAAACTGGTCAGTGTGATAGCCTAGCCCATCGTGACCCATACTCCAGCCTGGTTTCTGCACATGCCCGTGTGCTAAGGTTGGCCCATCCCTGTCCAGTCCACTCCTGTCCAGTACCAACCCACATATTTGCAGAGAAGTGGAGTCACTTTGTCTGGCCTGACAAACACCCATACTCACCAGTGGGAGCAACAGCCCACCAGGAGAGGTTCCCAAGTTCCCCCACCAGACTCATCCCCAGACCCTGATCTCACATTTGCCAGCTGGGGCTAGGCCTCTACCCAGCATAATCTGCCCACTCTATTCCTGCCTTTATATGAGCTGGTGGATGTTGCGGTTTAGCCGGCTCCACACTTCATTCTTGGGAGCATCTGCAGTACTGCAGCCTGGACCAGCCTGATCTGTTTTCAACTCCAGCACCCATGAGTGTTGGAGGGTTCCATGGTGATGCCTAGCTAAGCCTATCACTATCCCCAGCTCTTAAGCAAAACAGTGTAAGTTGCAGTTCCATGGGGGTGGGCCTACATGTCTCCTGCAGAATGTGCCCCCAGACCTGTTCTCTTGTGTGCTGCTCAGTATCATGGCCAGTACTCATCACTGGTGGATACTGTGATATAGCCCTGCCAGGTAGGCCTCCAGCCCTAGCTTTTGTGTTGGCTGGTGTATGGTGATCAGCAATAATCCATACTAACAAGTGCAGCTCAGATTTCCCATGTGGGCTGATGCATCAGTCTGACCCTTAAAAGTCTTCCAGTTTCCCACGTCCAAACCCTCAGTCTCACTTACCTTGCAAGTACAGTGGCCTTGTTGATGGAAGTCCCTCAGAAGTCATTCCTCACCTGCAACATACTTCCTCAGTCTTCCTTCCCACACATCCTGCTGCCCCTTCCCCTAATCAATCCATGGTCTCTGAGCCTGGTAGTGCTTGGATTTCCCAGCCCAGTTATCCCAAGCCCAGTCTTCTGGTGGGGTGATTTGCTGGCCCAGAGCTCTGCCTGCCAACTAAGTGCCAAGCTCCTGGCATATGTGCTAACCCAGGACCTCACTCCTCCACACACCCAAAAACCAGACCTTATCAAAGTTCCCCAAACGTGGTCCACAAGCACACCAGGCCAGCATGCTATCCTAAGTCTCTCCCCTTTCCTCCCCACTTCCCTCTTAGGACATGGGAAAATCCCCAGGCTCACTCCACCCACCTGGGCGCAAGCTCCCAGGTCCCTGCATCCCCCGCCAGCTCCATCCCCCAGGTCATCCACAAGCCCACACCCTCAGGCCCCCACAGACCTGCTGCCCTCCCACACAGGTAACATGGCCATTAATATGAGTTTGTAACTTCAAGTTTTTACTGAGTACCCGCTAGATGCCAGGTTTTGTTCTGGATACAGAGACTATATATAGTAGCAAACAAACCAGGGCCAGATCCTACCCTAGCAGGGAGAGTTGAATGGAACACTGGTTTGTAGAGGTGGTCATGGAAGTCTCCACTGACACATAAAAGAATGGTGTGTGTGGTTATCAGGTGGAAACGCATTGCAGAGAGAAGGAGCAGCAGCACAAAGGCCCTGAGGCAGGAGCCCAAATGGGATGGCTGCAGAGCAGGGTAGAGGGCAGGTGCCTGCAGTGGAACAAGCAAAGAAGAGAGTAGCAGATCAGGTCAGAGCGGCAAGAGGTATATGAGGGTGGAGTGGGGCCGAAGGGGTGACTCCCAAGACACTGGCTTTTATTCTGTCAGCTGAGGGAAGCTTTGCTTGGTTCAGAAACCTGGCATGATCTGATCCCAGTGTCCCTCTGGCCACTCAGTCTGTGGGATGTTGTGGTAGGGAGGACAGGGATGAGGGAAGAAGTGATGGTTGGCTAGGGCAGGCACACAGAGGCAGCCAAGAGGAAGCCAAGTCTGGAAGCACTTTGTGAGTAAAGCCAGGAGGACCTGCTGGTAGCTGGCATTTAGGATGAGGAAGAAGGAGAGGCCTCCAGGTGATGCCAAGGATTTTGCCTGAGCAGCTGGCAAGGTGGAGGTGCAGTGGGCAGAGGCAGAAATAGCCCTGCTGTGGTCCTGTGGGGCTGGAGGATCAGCTCATCTGCTGTGTGGGAACTTGAAGATGGAATGTGGTCATCCTACCAAAGTAGGGATGGTGTTTCAAGCCAGGAAGTCAGAAATCACCCGAGGTTATCAGTGGGAGGCACAGATCAGGGCTAAAGATTCAACATGGGAGAGACAAGGAGCAGGTGTTAGGGGACTCCACTGGAGAGGCTGGGAGGTTGGAGAATCTGAGTTCCAGAGCCTGAGAAACACAGGTGGCAATAAGAGGAGGAGCCATCAGCTCTGCAGAGGAGTGAGGCCAGCACTTGCCCAGGGTGATCAGTGTGCAGCAGACATCTGTGCGGGGTGATGATCAGTCGAAGCCCCAGAGCAGAGCTGGGCCAGCAGCCATCACACAAGCTCTGGGCGATGGACAGTATTGTTCATGCCCCAAGTTCCCAGTGGCCTGCTGCATGGCTCACTCACATCGAAGCTGAACTTGAGCAACTTGAAGGCCTGGGTGCAATGGGAGGATCCCTGTTTGTGCAGGGATACCTTGCAGGGTCTCATTCCCCGGGAGCAGGAAAGCTGACTTCACCCATCGTAGCCCTGGCTGGGCACTGCCATGACCTGTAGTAGCCAAGATGATCTGCTGTGGAGCAGGGGCCAGACCAGGAGGCCTGCTCTGAGTGTGTGTGTGTGTAAGGTATATTTTATTTATTTGGAAGGCAGATTGACAGAATGAGATTTCCCATTTGTGAGTTCATTATCCCCACATGGCTGCATTGGTCAGAACTGGTCCAAGCCAGGGGCCTTACACATGGGTGGCGGGAACACAATCACTTGGGCCATCTTCATTGCCTTCCCAGGCATATCAGCAGACAGCTGGATTGGAAGTGCAGCAGCCAGGACTTGAACCCATGCTTCAGTGTGGAATGCTAACTTAACCCTCTTCACCACAATGCCCAGCCCAGCAAATGTGTCTTTTCTTATACTTCAGTTCCTTTTGAGAATGAAGCAAATCATGCAGAATGGATGCCTGGATGTTTGAGTTACCCTGCACAGAGGAGGGGGGTGGAGCACGGCAGAAGCACACAGGCCTTGGCATCGGGCAGCCGTGAGTCAGCTGATGTGAAGCCTGGAGCCTGCCCGTGCCTCCGTCTGCTCACCACTGATAGCTCCAACCCGGACTTTGCAGTGTTGCCACAGAGGTTGGAGGTCAATGAACATGGAAATCTCTCTGAGGCCTTGTAGCTGGTCAGACAGCTGTAGTTGCTGATGTGCTGTAATGTCACGCATAAATAATAGCTCCAGCAACAGCTTTTGGGCACATTGAGAAAGTGTCTTATAACTGGGATGTGTGGGGGCTGGGGTTCTGCCTTGGAAATGGTAGGATGTGAACCAGGTCGTCCTTGTTGATTGTCCTGTGATGCGAGTTGCCTGGAAATTGAGGAAGCAGCAGGTTCAGGGGCCGCAGCCTGGAAGGTGGGTGTTCAGGGAATGGATGGGCATGTCTGTGCTTCCCATACTTCCTATCATGTCATGTGAGGTTGCCCAGGAGAAGGGAAAGCAGGTGGGTTGCACACATTCTCCAGCTATCCCAGCCTCCGTCACTCTGACCTAGTTTCTAGTACGTTATCTGCTTTCAGGCCCTCAGAAAGAGGGGCAACCTTTGCCTGTTCCAGCACAATCTATTTCTGATTCTTTTTGTCCTTCAGTTCAATGGCTTGCTTCAAAGGATTCCTAAGGAGTCTGCCTATGGAAATAGAATTTGCAGTTTCCGAAGCGCTCTGTGCCATCCGCCCCACTGGGCTTTTGTTGGCCACCTGTTCCAAATACCTGCTCTTGGCACATGCACCTGGAGGCCATGATGGGGTGGCACGATGCTCTGTCATCCTCCTGAACCCAGAGGATGTCCGGCCTGTGCCTGTCCCCGTGTGAAGCTGCCTGTCTGTATTGTCCCTGGGGTATACACCGGGCTTTGATCATTTTATAGCACTTGACACCATGTCGCAGCTGCTAGCCCAGGCAGGATGGGGTCTTATGTGACAACTGCGTCCCCGTGTCCACACTGTGCCTGTGCTGAGTCCTGCGCTACAGTGAAGTGTGCCGTTTGCCCTCGTCAGCTTCTCACTTCAGATCCCCAGAGACAGCAGGGGGACACGGGCCAGCACCCCTCCTGGGGGGTTTAAGTGGCACTTGTGTATTTTTAGCTGTCCTCCCTCATGCCGCTGGTGGAGAGGTTTCCTTTCCCAGGCACACGTCCTCGGCCCTGCAGGGTTGGGAACCTCAGACGTGTCTTATAGAGCTGACGGAGACTGACTGCGATTAGTTTTTGCTGTGAGTAATCCGCAGAAGTCACAGAGAAAGCTGTGGTCCTGGAATGTGTGTTTTCCAACATAGATGTCACTTGAGTCCCAGCTGAGGGAAAGGAAGGCAGCTTCAAGAAGTAAACCCAGTGAAACACATGCCACCTCAAGTCCCTGGCGTGTCCTCTGGCTGAGCCATGCGTCCCGTCTGTGGCGGGACTTCTCAGGGACTGAATGCCGCTGAGGTCCTGCTGCAGGTTTTCAGGCCTTTTTATGCCTACAACACACACGGGTTCATCACCAGATCCTAATTCATGCTAAAAAATTTTCCCATCCAAGTGTTTTTTTTTTTTTCTTTTTTCTCAGAAACAAGACACTGGCCAGGGCCTGCTGGACATGGTCTACAACCATGTGGGTGTGACCGAGAAGGAGTACTTTGGACTGCAACATGGTGACGACTCAGTGGACTCTATGGTAAGCGATGTTCCTTTCACACCGGCTGGCCTCCCACATTGGCTGCCCTTAACACCCCATCTCTTCTCACCTGACAGAGATGGCTGGAATCGAGCAAACCCCTCCGGAAGCAGCTCAAAGGTGGGTGTGGTTTTGGCATGCCCATATTGCACCATGGGGTGCTCATGTGGCAAAGCCCCTGTCCCTCTGCCAGCTACCAAGGTGCTTATAGCATCTGTTGGCAGGATGGATTCTGGGGGTGGGGACCACGGTATGGGTGGGGGTGAAGAAGGCGTCCTTGTCTGGCTCCTCCATTTAGCAAAGACACTTCTAGCTCAGCCCTTGGGGTCCCCCCGAAACACAAGATGAGAATGCAAGGGAAAGCAGGCTGCTCCGAGCCAGAGGCCCCACGTGCCTTCTTGCCAGGAAGCAGCAGCGGAAAGGATGATTGTTCTCAGCCCAGTGTGAGAGCCACAGGGAGAAGAGCCACACACCCCTTGGAGCCTCCTGCCAGTTCACACACCTTCCCTGCAACCTCTGCCCAGCCACACTGTCATTGGTCCCCTTTGAGTGGCCACAGCTGCCTCTGTAGCTTCCCCGTCTGTTCCCTATGCTGGAAATGTGATTCCCACCACATCTCTGTGTCTGAACCACCAGGCTGCCCTCGAGGCTGCTCAGGTCCATATGCTGTCCCCCAGCTGTGGAGGCCCACTGAGCACTTCTCTGACACTTAGCCTTGGCTGCCTCATGGCCCTGAACCCTGTCACCCTCACCTCTGTCTCCCTCAGTTCATCTCGGAACTGGAGGTAAGGGCCTGTCACCCACCTCTCAGCATCCTTCAATGTTCCCCACGCCCGACCCACAGGAGACGACCAGCGAGTGGCAAAGGGCTGGCAAAGATAGCCATGTGTGCATACATCTCAGTGTCCACCCCCCCCCCACACACACACACATACACACATACACCTGTTCCAGTGCCCAGGTTGAAAGGAACATCCACAGGTGACTGTGGCTCTTGTCCTGTTGTTGCCGCTCCTTGGAGCCAGGTCTCCAGAGCTCTTATCTCCCAGGAGGTGAGTCCTTAATAATAAGATGTGCTCTTGGAAGCCACAGTGCCCGTTGCACATAAACACCTGCCTCATTTGGGTTGCAGAAATGAGTGCCCACAAGGCCTGGCTGGTGATGGGCCTTCCCTTCCTCACCAGCCGGTCAGCGGAGGTGGCCTGAGCTCATGTGAGGTCAGGACACTGGACTGCGCCCTGGGTGTCGGTTCCAAGTCAGATTTGCACCCCGCCCTCAAGGACCTCACACCCATGTGTGGAGCCAGAGGAGAAGAAGAGTGAGTTCTGATGGTACTTAGCGCACGATAGGAGGCCCTGGGTGCATAGAGCAGGACAAGAACGATGCAGACCAGGCCTGACCCCTACAGAAGGACAGGCAGTTGAAAGGGCACTTTAAGATGCCAGGAGGACTCTGCTGTCCCCACTGCAGGGGCACAGCCTGCACCCAGAGTTCGAGGACCCCCCATGCTGGAATGCGGACACTGGTACACACACACACTGGCACACACATGTACAGCTTCTTTGAACACTCACCAGAGATGCAAATAGAAGTACTAAAGAGACAAGTAGAGCACAGGGTGAAGGGAGAGGAGATGAGTGCAGATGGCAGGCTGGGGAAGGGTGTGCATCTTCAGAGACCCAGAGCATGCTGCACACATAGGTAAGGCTGGCAAGTAGTTGCCAAGTTTGGGGTGAGGGGTGAGTGACTGAAATTGAAGATCTCTTAGCGATAGAATCTGATCTTTCCCTATTTCCACATCAAAAGAAATGGACTCAAATTCGTGCTTGATGTTGGTGTTTCAAGAGCCACCTTTGGATATATTCATTGTATAATTTTGTAAAAATGGTAATGATTTAGTAGACTCTGCATTAAAAGCAGAGAATAATTGTCCAGTTGACCTGTGACATAGCATCATCGGAAACCTCAGGCTGTCCTTCGGTTCTGCCCCTGTCTGCTGACCCAAGTGAAGATAGCATGTTTAAGCCTGCTGGCTCCTCTGTAAGGTCAGGCTGTCCAGAGAGCAGCCTGGCCACAGCTAGGGTGAGCTTCATGTTCAAGAACATGCATTAAAGAGTCCACACAGTGGAAGTTGCCATCTCAGTGTCAACCAATTCTTTGTGGTCTCTGGATACACATTCTCAATACAGGTAACTAAGTGCCTTGTTTAAACACAGCCCTGAGTTTCACTTGTCACAGGAGGTAGGCATTCCTCAGCCTACACCAATGTAGTGTAAACAGTTTACTTTCTGTAGACTTGGAGATTTTCAAAACAGTCTGTGAGCTCACGCACTGCCTGTCTGGAAAGGGGCCCTTTCCACATTCGATAAAGCCGTGGTGAAATGCAAAGAGGCATCGTTTGTGAGAATAAGCGACTTGCAATTTGTTAACCATTTTCTTTTTTTAAAGGAAATTTTAATTTTGTGTTTGGAAAATGTTGTAGGAGGTTTCCCCTGTACTCTGCATTTTCGAGTCAGATTTTTTATACCTGATCCCAACACCTTGCAGCAAGAACAAACCAGGTAATCATTTTTAAAACATGTTTTCTATATAGTATATAAAAACAAAGAATGACTGAAAACATAGCCTTCATTTTATAGCTGGTGCTGGGTTGCTATAAGATGATCCAAGCCAAAATGTCACGTATTGCTGTTGTAATTGGGCAACTAGCATCAGTTTCTCCCGTTCTGATTTGGTGCAAGTCCGACCTACTCCACCCTGCTGCCAGCTCTGCACACTGCTACCACCCCGTCCCACCCCCTCTCACCTCCACCCTTCCAACCCCCTTCTACCCCTCCACCCCCTCCTGTGTTTCAGCAATGACAACACAGTGTCTTGAGCATTTCCTCCCAGATTCCCCCGGTGGCAGGAGCTGGGAAGGTACACAGGCTGGACCCAGCTTGTCTGCGGGGTGAATCAGGAGGTACAAGAGATGCAAAAAGTAGATAAGGAGGAAGCTGTGGTAGGAATTATTTACCCCTCAGGCCTTGGACTGGAGCCTGGCCTGGGTTTGGTACTCACAGGTGGGTTTTCTGGGTGGGGACTGGATCCTTGTTGCAGTTTGAACACAGACTGTCAGCTTACCTTCCCCTCCCCTGTGGAGATGTTAAGCCTTTTTACTATGGCCCCCAAAGGATGGCAGGGAGAGGCCATGGATGTTTAGGACTTCTGCCTCCTACTGGGTGCTGTTTGTGGCAACAAGAGCATCCTGTTTAGCCCAGCTAGAGAGTGCTGGCCTATCTTTTTTTTTCTTACAGTGATAAACACGTGATCGCATGTTAACTTTTAGTATGTTTCAAGGCCAAATATTAGTCTTTTGCTGTGTTTTGCCTTCTCTGTGCACCTCTTCCCTTCACAGCAGCAGACACTGGGGACTTGACTGTGTTTACCACCATGGTAAACTTTAACCCAGCTTGAGAGGTGCCCAGGGTGACTTGGTGTGCCTCATTGGGGAGCCATGCGGGAGCACACACCAGCTCATCCTGTGGTGTTGTTTCCTGAGCTCCTGGGCACCTGGGCATCCTGGAAGAGAGTGTGTTGGAAGTGACCCTGCTCAGAGACTGGCCGCGTTCTGGGACACTTTAGAAAAATGACACGAAGAGTTAGAAATGTGTCACATCTGTGTATGTGTATTATAGGTTTTATGTAAAAAGTTCTGTGTATATGATGACATGCATATATATCGTGTGTGTGTGGTTTGACCAGTGGCATTTTTGAAAGATTGATTTACTTGAATGTCAAAGAGAGAAAGTGTGTGCACTTCCATATGCTGCTTCACTCCCCAAATGGCCACGATGGCAAAAGCTGAGTTACATTGGCGCCAGAAGCCAAGAATTCCATCCATATCTTCCATGTGAGCGACAGGGACCCAAGCACTTCAACTATCTACCACTGCTTTACCAAGCACATCAACAGGAAGCTGGACTGAAAGCAGAGTAGGTGGGACTCCAGCCTATGCTCTGATAAGGGATTCTGGTGTCAAAATCAGAAGTTCAACATGCAATGCCAAGACATCAGTCCCCAGTGAGTTTGTTTGTTTGTTTGTTAGTAAATGGAGAGCACCCTGGGGTTTTTTGTTGTTGTATTTTCTTTAGAATGTCAGTTACCCCTGACGTTGAAAGATTCCAAGCTGAGCACAAACTAGACTGCTTATCTTAGTGGCTGTCACTGTCCCCAATCCCCTCCCGATAGCAGTGGAGCTCCAAAACTAAGGGAAGGCAGCTGACTGGCTGTGGGAGGGATAGTACAGCCCACTGAGCCTTCCTGCTGTGCAAGGGGCATCTGAGGACTCGGAGTGCTGTCTTCGGAACCGCAGATGGTGGTATTGGGAAATGCGAGTGGTACATCCAGAGTGAATGGCCATGGTAAGAGTTGGTAGGGAGGTGGCTACTGAGGGGGCCGATTTCATCTTAAGATGAATAATAGTTATATTTGCTCCTGCCTGTGTACCAGATAAAAATGGCTCACCTCTGTTTGTCCTGAGCTGATGGGTTCAGGGTTGGCCCTCAGTCCTGTCACCTTCTCGTCCTGGTGACGTGGAACAGAAGAGGTTGGTTGCTGCCCTTGGGACACTCGATTAGTGTTGGGGAGCAAGAGCCATGGCAGTGCCATACCAACTGACCCCTGTAGCCAGGACCCAGATGGAGCACTGGATCTTTTTCTTTTGCCACTGGGCCATGCTTCCATCCTGTCTATGCCGTTTTCTTTTTTTTCTTTTTGATTCAAATGAAGGATTCTACCTGTGTCCCTGACCCATGGTATCCTTTTAATCTGAAGCTTTGTAGCCTGTCCAGAAAGGAATTCTCTTTGAGGAAGTGAGAAAACTTGGCCAAAAAAGAATGTATGAGGCAGTATTTAATGTGTTTTTGCTTTTTAGGGATTGAGCTCGACAATTGTTGCTTTTGCTAGAGTTGGTCTCCACATTCTGTCTGTGGTGAACTAATTTCCAAAATTGGTGGGCTTGGGTTTCTCCTCTGGGCAGCTCATGATGTCGTCATCTCTATTGTAAGCCTCAGCACCTGCTGGTTCTGATATCTGTAGATCTTTCCCAACCGAATTTCATACACTGGCAGCCTCTGTGAAATTAAAGTAAAGCTCCTTCAAGTTTCTTAGGTAAGCGCCTTGCATTCAGGTTGCGTTCCACTACTCCAGTGCCTCTGCGCTGGATGTCATGGAGTGGACTTGGAAACTTGGCTGAGCAGCACACTGAGATTCCCAGAAAAGTTGTAGTGCTCAGCAGGGCCCGGCCGTGAACTCTCAAGTTTACCCTGGGATTATCCATAATCCTCTCCCTGCTTCTCACTTGCGTTCTCTCTCTCAGTAGCATTGTAGGAGGAGGGAACACTTAATTCTAGTTGAATGTCAGCATGGATAAACATAGAAACAAACTGGAAAACACTGAGTATGTTCTCCTGGATGGAACAGAGCAAGATTCCCATTCCAAATAGGCATGAATCAGCACGAGTGCCCGACACCGTCTGTCCGCGCTACACCCTGTGGGGACCTGGGATGATCACAGCTGGAGCACTCGGCTCCCAGTTGCAACATTGATCCCAAGCTTTTTAAGTCATTAAATGGGGATGAACTCAGTAGCATAGATTTATATATGTGTGCATGCAAATAAGGTGTGAGTGTCTTGGTTAAAATAGGACACGTAGCTGACCCCTGCTGTCTTGTCTGAACTTTGTTTCCTTACCTGGGAAAAACAGAGGTAGTGATGTGTGTGAGTGTGTGTATGTGTGAGTCTGTGTGCGCGCACGCGCACACACATGGCTTATGGCCAGGTGGCAAGAGCGATGGGGAATGTTACCAAGCAGGACACACACATAGCTGAGACCTGGATAAATCCGGGCTTGTGGTTCTGACTGTCCTAAGCATTCATGGCTCACAGAGCCAGCCCCTTGACCTTTGTAGATCTGGAAGAACTAGAGACCGATCTGTGCAAGTGGCCAGAATTCTCCCTCTGCTGCCCCCGCGCCTTTGCCCTGTCAACATTAGATTTCAAGAGACTTCCCTTTTGTCATTTGGCCAGACTCTGGAATGTCTCTCCAATTTGAACCTGGACTTTACAAAAAAGAGGGGGAGCCAGCAGCCAAACGTCATGGATGCAGCCAAACGTCATGGATGCTTTGTCCCTAAATAGAAAGCTTGGCAGGGTTGTTGCTGACCTGTACAGGGTTGTTGCCTGCCTTCTTCCCCCAGCCCCCACTTCCCACCCGACACCAACCCTGCCCAGGACAGCTGGCCTGAAAAACAGGCTCTGGGTTCTGAAGCTGGTTCTGCTCATTGAGTGAGAGATACAGCCCGGATGTCCTGGCATCTCCAAGCTCACTGATGCTCCGAATACAGCCAGAAGCTCAGCAGGGTGTCTGTACCATAGCCACAGAGAGCACCTGCCAGCCCCTCTTCCTCTGAATAGCTACACACAGAGGGAGTGTAGGTGTGCATATGCAGGTGCTGGAGGGTAGGGGGCTGGGGGTTCAAAGCCTCTGGGGGCCCTGGTGATGGGCCAGGAAGACCCCCAGCTGCAGGTCAGGGTGCTCACTGACCATCGCAGCAGCTGACCACTGCCACCCTGGGTACCCTGTCCAATCCTGCAGCTCTAGGGCAGCCTCAGAAATGCCCCTACCAGTTGGGACCATGGGCCCTGGCTCAGGTCCTTATTGGTGACCCAGCAGCTTTGCAGTGTGACCCACAGCATCTGACACTGTAGATCAGAATGTATCTTCATGTGTTTTATTTTTCACGTATACAAGTCTTGTCCTTGACTCATCAATCTTCCCATGCTTGTTTTTTGTTCTTTGCTTGTTTCAGTTTGTTAATTAATGAAAACACTTGTTTCATAGGCATCTGTATTTTTTACAACTGAAGATGGATATCTGCGAAGGAAGGTAATAAGAATTTTGCTTTTTCCTTTTCCTGTCCAATTAGTCAGATTCCTGGTCTTAATCTAATGAGCATGCTTCTCTGGCAACAGTATTTCAGTCCAGAACAAAAGATGGCTATTAGTGACAGCATCCTGTCCCCGGATGGCTGTGGCATATGCTTTCAACTCAGGCTTGATGATCAGCCTCTTCTCATGTTATTTCTGTTTCATCACAAAAGACACAGGATCGCTCTGGTAGAGACCCGTGACATTCGGAAGGGAGCCAAGAACCGGGAGTGTGAGATGGACTTTCCCTCGGAAGACAGGTCGGGCCTGACCGAGGTCCACCTCCCGGTCCCTGGTCACTCATTTCCCCCCATTCTGGGAAACTTGCTGCTCAAGGCATAAGCATCTGGCTGTGATTGAGCGCTTCTGTGTAGCAGCATCCCTCAGTGGCTGAATGCATTCGGAACTGCTCCCCAAGGGGAGGTGACGCTCCAGCCCTGTGACCTCTGAGCCTCCTCTTCCTTAGCCGACCTGTAACTTAGGGAAGATGCAACAGGCAGGTGGACCCACGGGAAGAGCCACATCTTATTCCCATTTTCCTTACCATGCTCTTCTTCATAAGGAAGTTCTTAGAGACTGCCAGTATCCTGTAGGACCCAGGAGCTTGGAATCTGATTAGGAAAATGAGACAGGGGCCTGTGATGTGACTGGGGAGCACTTTGGACTCATGTGAGCAGTGGAATCTTCCATCTTAGATATGAGGTGCTCCTGCTAGTACAGGGTGCTGGGATGAACCAGGCTCAGTTGGTCAAGAAGTGAGGAGTTGGGTGTTCCACACGCTACCCGGTGCCAGCTGGGCCAGAACTGGAAGTGCCCCCTCCCCCACCTGGTGGAGGGCCTATAGAGGAGACAGAGGGCTTTTTCAGGTCCAGCGTGGGCCTGCACATCGCATCTAGCAGGCGGGAGAGAGCTGTGCCATGGGGACATGGTGAGAGCCTTGTCTGTGGTGATTGTGTCCCTGTTCACTGAGTGAGGCTCACAGAGGCCAAAGGGGTTCCATTTAGACCGAACGGAATGGACAGCTCCCAAGGAAGCCTGCATACATTGCCAGGCCAGAGACTAGGGCACAGCGTGGAAGACAGGAGAGAGGGACCCACAGATCTATTACCTGTTTAGCAGTCAGAGAGTTAGACTTAGCTTACCTTCCCCTACAAGGAAGGAACAAGTCCTTCCTGTAAGATAACCCCCAGGGATTTGGGCCTGTGCTGTATCCGCCCCCCAGGACTGGGAGCTGGCCCTTTCTTACATTTTAGGGTAACTAAGGGTTGATAGCCCCTGCCTCCCACCCCAGCCCGGGCTGCCCCCTGAAGACACAGCAGCTTCTTCTGTCCCTTGCTTCTGTTTTCCTGGTGTTGTTGGTTTTTTTTTTTTTTTTTTTTTTGCTCCACGTGTATTTTGCTAATACTCAAGAAGAGACAAGCGCTGGACTGTGCGGCAAGGACCCTGCACCTGCACCTAGGGGCTGCTCCGTCTTACTCTGTATGTACTGAACATCGGCTGCCTTTGTTGCCTTTGTTTAAATCTGTCTGTTTTATTTGAAAGACAGAAAATCACAGACAGATTATTCATCCTTTGGTTCACTTGGTTCCAAAATGCAGCAAGGCTGGGCCAGCCCAAAGCCAGGAGCCTAGGTCACAGTGCAGGTCTCCCATGTGAGTGACAGAGGCTCGGGTACTTGAGCCTTCACCTGCTAGCTCCCAGGGTGCACATCAACAGCAAGCTGGATTGGAAGCAGATAAGCCGAGGCTCAAAACTGGGCACTCTGGGATGGAATGCAGGCTTCCCCTTTACCCCTGCACCAAGCACTTTTGCACCTGAATTTTTTGGCGTCTCTCAAGCTGAATATCCCATGCCAAAATTTTTCTGTGGATCAATAGGAATCTTTTAATAGCCATACGCTGACCCAGGTCCCTGTCAGGTCCTTGTCACGTCTTCTGCTGGCCCTCACAGCTCTCTCAGCAGGGTCCCAAGAACCAGACACTCCTCAAGGTCATTTGTGGCGGCATAAATTGCTCCCTGACGGTGTGGCTGGCCTTCTTCCCTGGTGCCACGATGGCCCTGGCTTGTGAGGACTCTAGGTGGCAGCCAGTGCTCAGGGCATTGGCTTCCTTCTGCACAGCCAAAGAGGACGAAAGGGATCAGCATGGGAAACATGGCACATCAGTTGCAAGCAGGAGGTGGGCTCTCAGGGTTCTGGTGTATGCATTATTTTAATGAAGATTTATTTATGTTTTTAAAAGGCAGAGTTAGGGAGAGAGAGAGAGATCTTCCATCTGCTGTTTTACTCCCCAAAAGGCCATAATGACCCAAGCTGGATCAGTCTGTAACCAGGATCCTGGAGCTTCTTTCTTGTCTCCCATGTGAGTGCAGGGGCTCAAGGACTTGAGCTATCCTCTGCTGCTTCCTCAGGTGCTTTAGTGGGGAGTTGAATTGGAAGTGTAAAATCTGGGATTCAAACCAGAACCTCTGTGGGATGCAGGCACCACAGGCAGTAGCTTTACTTGCTGTGCTCCAGCACCAGCCTTTGGAAACCATTTTTCTTTCTGACTTCTCTGGAGGATTGCTTCTTCCATCTAAACAGAACTTCCTTAGCCTCTTCCCCAGAGTTCTTCCCCAGAGCCCTTCCCCCAGTTCCTCCTCCAGGAAGGACATGATGTAGATGTAATGGAAGCCCATCTGGTAAGGGAACAAATGGCAGGTGCTCATCACAGCACTTGCTCTCCCCCTGGGTGCTGCTCTCCACATAGGTGGGACGTATGGCCTGGGTGCTAGCAGGAGCAAGGTCCCTTAAGGAAAGTCAAGGGGGTCTTTGGGTAGACAGAGCTGCTTCAGATGTGGCTCTGGGACCAGGAGACAGCCCAGCGCACAGGGGGAGGACCAGCCAGCTTAGAGAAGGGGATGAGTCACATCTTGGGAACTTCTTGAGCTGGTTGGAGATTGTGTGTTTGAGCTGCTTCTGGCTGGGTTGTCAGAATACTGTGGAACTCTGGAGTGTCCCAGGGCTTCTATGAGGATGCTATTCTTTATCAGAGTCCTCACTCCCACCCTGCCCTGTCCCAACTCACTCTCCCAGCTCACAGGGACTGCCCCAGCTCTGTGAAGGAAGCTCCTGGACAGTCTGCAGAGGCGGAGGGTCAAAGGAGCCTGAGGGGCAATTAGAGGATTTGGAATCTGGCCAGAAAAAAGTGAAGTCACCGGCAGAAACGGGGCATGAGGGGACATGGGCACATCCAGTCGGTCGATGACAGCTGCATGGATCCTTGGACCCAGGAGGTCTTCAGGAGAACAAACTGCTGTGGGAATCTTTATAAGGAATGAATTCAGAATTTGCAAGTTTTAGAAATACGAAATACTTTTCTACTTTGACCCTTCCAAGAGGATATAGTTAGAGCCAACAAAAAGTACCTGTTCTTCACTGGGGATGCTTGAATGGGGTCCCTGGGTCTGAGAGAATCTTGTTTTTCCTGCTGGAGACACAAGCTTAACCTTTCTCAGCAACCCACGCACCCACCAGCATCACGCCTTTCTCTGTGGCCGTTGTTATGCATAATGTCTCGTCCATGAGAAGGCATTTCTTTCTACAGCTCCTCTGTGTTGTTGTGCTGATCTTTAGCCTTTGAGATGGAGGCATATCATAAAGCCATCTTTTTTTATGATTCCTGTTGGTGTTTAATGATTAACCCAAGAAAAGAAAGGCCCGTCCTACCCGTTGTCTGTGGGCACTGTGGGCAGTTGCTGGGTTCTTGCATTTTTGCCAACATGTTTTTCTCCTGACAGGTTAACCTGCCCTCTGAACTCAGCGGTGGTTCTAGCATCCTATGCCGTACAGTGTAAGTCACGGGAGCAAGCAGGTGACAGGTGGACACGTCCTGACCAGGATACCTGGACCGTAACAGCTTCTGCTGTCTGGCTTGGTTTTTCCCCCACCCATACCCAAGGAATCCTGTTGGGCAGCATGCTTTAGGCTGTTCAGCTGGTCTCACTTTCTTCCTGACAGGCTACTGCAGCCTAGGGGTGCTTGATAGGAGACTGTGGGGTAACGGGGTGGTTCAGTGTGAAGCTTTCCCCTGAGGGAGCCCATAAAACAGCAGGCGGCTGTTACACATTTTCCACAGTCTCTGCCCAGGTATTTGACTTTGATCTCATACGAACCCCAGAGGGACAAATATTTGGAGCAGTCGCCTCTAATAAACATGGAAACTGAGACCTAGCAGGGTGAAGGAATGCACTGGAAGTCATTGCTGCTGCTTGTTTGCTGCCACTCAGAGCAGTGCTGGGATTCTAGGAATCTATTTTTGGTTTCGGTACAGCTAGTGGCTTATACGTTGGCCCAAAGCTGTGCTGTCTGATAGAAACGTAAGGTGAGCTACATATGTCATTCTGAGTTGTCTTCTTTTGTGTAAAACATGATTTATTTATATGAAAGACAGAGTGACAGGCATACGAGGAGAAGCAAACAGAATTGGAAATAGAATGAGCTCTTCCATCTGCTGATCCACTCCCTGAGTGGCAGCACCAGCCTGGGCTGAAGCAAGAAGATGCTTCCTCCAGGTCTCCCACAAGGCTGTCCGAGCCCCGTGCATTTGGGCCACCTTATGCTGCCTTCTTAGGTGCATTTTGGCGGGGCTGGATAGGGTGAGGCTCTATTGGGACTCCCAACTGACATCTATATGGGATAGCAGCACTGTAGGTGGCAGCTTAAGCCGTTGTATAACAACACTGATCCCAGATACGCACAGCTCTCATGCATCAAGTGAGAGAAAGGAGGGAAAAAAAAAACTAGGAAAATAAAGTTAACAGACAGTGCTGAGGTGACTCTAAGTTTGTCCATGTCCCCAGTAGCAAGGAAAAGACATGGGGGTGGGAGACAGTCTGCAAGGACTCAGCCTGCAGCCCTAGTCTTGGCTTTCCCACTTACACCTGTGTGGCCTTGAGCCTCACCAGGCCTCTCCTTTGCCTGTCAGGTGGGGACTTTATAGAGTTGGAGTAATGTCTAAAGAGGAAGTGGATTCCTCAGCACAAAGCTCTTGGACTTGCACCTGCACCCACTGGTGTTATCCCTTCCTGCGTTTTCCTTATCTGCGCAGGAGAAACTGTCAGCAGAATTGCCTGTCGTGAATTCCAAGCTCTGTTCAGAGTAGAATTAAAAACCACATTGTATGAAAATCCGATTCCGAGCTGTGGAAGTCAGGTTTGCCGGTGTGAGGAACTGAGAGAACGGCAGCTGACACAGTGATAGCACATGGGCCATACCAGCCAGGGGCCGTGTTAATGTTACTGTCATGCTGATAGAGCCAGGCGAGCAGTTTCAAGATGGGCTGTGTATTCCCCTGCTCAGGCACCTTCACAGGGAACTAGATTGGAAGTGGAACAGCTGGGACTCAAACCAGCACTCCCGTAGGATGCAGGCATTGCTAGTTGGCTGGATAACATGCTGTGCCACAGCCCCAAGGCACATTTTCCTGCTAGGTAAAAAGGAATCAGTGGATGAGGCACTACATAGACACCATGGTGGGAAATTGTTGTTGGCCCCTGGAGGGATTCTGAGGCTCAGCGATGGAAGGTTTGGCAAAGCTGCATTCATTCTGTGATGTCCCCTGCACCTCGGGCACGGACACACAGGGAACCTGCTGCCTGGTCAGGAGGCAGCCTGGACCCAGTGCTGCTGCCTCCGGAGGATGCCCTCCACCCAGCCTGGGGGAGAGAGAGGGGAGCTGGAAGGCAATCCCGGGAATGACCCCCGCGAAGGGCCTCTGAGATCAAGGTGAAGCTGGAAGCGTGGCAGGGAGAGGACTCAGCCAGCAGAGTAACATAATTCCTGGCACCACTCTTTGGGAGCCTGGGATATGCTCTGTCTTTGCTGCAAGGCATTAAATGTTATCAACCAGAAGAAGGCGAGAACAGCATGTGCTTTCAAAGACAAGGCGTCCCCTGCACAAGCACCGGCTTCCTGGCCTTCTGTAGTCATTAGTTTTCATGTGTGCTGCTTCCCCGCAAATAGAAAAGTGTGTTCTTGGGAGGGAGGGAGAAGGGTGAGGCGTGCAGAGCAGGAAGTAGATAAGAGTGGGGCTGGTGATCAGAGTTCCGACTGAACTTCAGTTGACGGTGTCTTCTCGGAGTCTCAGTTTCCTTATCCGTTTTATGGGCTAGGAGTGGAGCTGGTGATCAGAGTTCCGACTGAACTTCAGTGACAGGTGCCTTCTCGGAGTCTCAGTTTCTTTATCTGTTTTATGGGAGCTTGAAGTGGGTGACATCACTGAGCTCGGCAGGGCTGTGTATGACTGTTGAGCTGTCTCCCCCTAGCGGTCAGCTCAGAGCTTTGCACAGAGTCGCTGCTCTGTTTCCAGAGAAAGCCGCATGACACACTTCGTGGGTCCTCTGTTAGGTTCAAAATACTTGTCAGCGACTTGTATGACCAAAAATCTTGCTGTTCAGGTTTGCTAAATGACTTCAGGACTGCGGCTGTTAGGTGATCAGGAGACAGCAGGAGCTCCGTGAGCTCATGAAACCATGAGCTGCCTGGAAACCCAGAAGGGTGCAGTATTTGGTGGGCCTTCGGGGAGTTGGCCGCTGTCGTCAGCAGGTGGTCAGCAGAAACATGCAGACCCTCACAGTCAGGGTGGACAAGTGGGCTGCTGCGCTGGCAGAGCACTGGCCGGAGCTTGGATCCACCGAGCTCACCATGGCTTCTCCTAAAGTCAGGATTTGGAATGAGGTGATTCCAAGGCTTTCCTCTCCATTGGGTCTCCTTTGTCAGGGCTCCTGGGTGGAGAATCTGCAAGCAAACCTCTATAGACTTGGCACCACACATGTTCAGGCCCAGGCTTGTGCTCCCGTCCTCCAGCCCTGACACGTGCATCCGCAGCGTGGCCGCATTTAGCTGTAACACCCTGTGGGCCAGCCTCGACCAGGTCTGCATGCACAGATCCCTTCCCCCACAAGCGGACCTGGTCAGGAGCTTCTATTAGGTGTGAGCTGGTAGATTCAATCCCCAAAATGAGCCAGAGAAGACTCTTAGAAGCTCAGGAGTCTTTGTCCACCAGCCGGCAGGCTGTCCTGTACCACGAGTGGCAGTGGGCAGCAGCCCCAACAGGCCACAGTCAGGGGCTTTTAAATTCACACTGTCATGGAAACCGTTCAGTCAAATAAGCTAGCCTCGGCTCAGTGTGCTGAAGGGGAAACTGTCAGGAATTCTTATCTTCTCAAGGTTGTAAAAGGTGGCTTTGGCCCAGGGCTGTCATGGGAAACTTTAGAGCTGAGTGCCAATCTGAGGATGTGGGGAAGGTCACCACTTGCAACCCAGCTGCCAGCCACCATCTGGGGAAACACTGACACCATGAGTGATGCTCTGTCATGCAATAGGCAAGTGTATAAACGGACTAAGAGCTATGTCCTGCCTGGTAGCCAGGAGCCCAAGCCAGCCAGCCAGCAAGTGTAGTGTATGGAAACCAGTTTTGCAGAGAGCCGAGTTTTTAAGTATACAGTAGGTGTTTTTTCTAGTATTCTGGTTCCGCATTTGTGTCCCCAACAGAACACTTGTGTTTCTGCTCACCCTGGGACTCAGACTTAGATGGCAGGCACAACTGATACCATTTTGAATTTTCTGGCTGTCGACTGTTGAGTCCAATTCCGACCAGCCAAATCCCCGAGTCCCCAGCCGGGTTCTGTGCTAAGTGGTGGGTCCTGAAGGTGACTCAGCCTGCTCCCGGCCCTTGGATAATGGTGTAAGTCTCAGACAGCAGCCCTAGTGGTCTGAGCAAAGCTGAGCAGGTGTAAGAAAGACATGACCTGCACATCTGCCCTTAGGACTTGGTGCTGAGAGTCATGCCAGCGGCCACGAGGCTCACCCCGTGTCTTCCTGGGGTCGGCCCAAAAGCTGCCCACCACTTCCCTACACACTGCTCTCACGTACACACCACCCTCATGTCCAAGAAGGAGTGATTTGGTTTAGAAAACCTTTGTGTGGAATTGGCACGATGCTGAGAGCCCTTGGCCGCCCTCTGGCATTTGAGCCAACTGCAGGATGAAGTTCATGAGGACCTTTGGAGAGATCAAGGTGAATACATTTTTTTAAAAAATATACTCACTTATTTGAAAGCAGAGGAAAAGAAAAAGGGAAGGGAAGAGGGAGATATAGGGGTCTTCCATCTTCTGGTACTTCCCAAATGGCTGCAGTGACAAGGGGTGAGCCAGGTCAAAGCCAGAAGCCTGGAACGCCTTCCCTGTCTTCCCTGTCTTCCCTGTGTGGCAGGTGGTCACTAGGGGGCATCCTCCATTGCTTTCCTAAGTTCATTAGCAGGAGGCTGGATTGGAAGTGGACTGGCTGAAATTTAAACCTGTGCTCTCAGAGGATGCTGACATTGCAAACAACAGCAATGCCAGCCACTCAAGATTAATCTTTTTAAGAAAAAATGATAAAAATGAAAGTTTTGTTTTGTTTATCAAGAAAATGGAATGAAGATCAGTTCCCCATCAATGTTAACAGTCATCTCTCACTCCTATTTTTATACAAAGGGAAAAACTGAGTTTTGGGGAAGGAATATGTGGATCCACAGGTTCCACAAGCCTGGTCCTCAACTGCTTGCCCAGGGTCCTTTTGCCAGTGTCCTCCACGGACCGGACATGCCAGTGGTGTGAGTCCGTGGACAGCCATGTGGCACTGCATAGCTCCCCAGGATAGCTGTGACAACATATGCATCTGTGGTTCCTGTCAGATTTTGAAGAGAAACCATGTGTGTCAGGGGCAGTCAGAGGTCCCTCCATAAGACCTTGGTGCCCTCCTCATCCAGCTGCAGTTTGTGCCTGGAGGGACAGCCCCGGCCTCTGTCCTGCGATGTGTCCTTTCCCTGGGAATCCCGCCACTGGCCTTGCCCTTCAGCCCCATTTTACCTACGCCTCACCCTGGTGGCCTGTGAGCACATTCCACCCCCTTTTGTACCACCCCAAGGTCCGGGGGGCAGGTGGACAGAGAGAGATCAGATTTGCGCAGCCTCCCTTCTGCCCACACCCATCTCTTAGAGCAGGTTGGCCCCATGTCGTAGTACCCCAGGGGTAGGACAAAACTCCCGCACAAGGCATTTCCCCTTCCCACCCCCTGTCCATCCTCTTTAATCCAGGGATGAGTGACAATGCTGGCCACAAGCACAGAGGGGACCTGGGACTAGAAGAGGCCCCAGGTTCTAAGACCGTACGTCCTGGGGAAGTGGGAGTTGGGCCAGAACGCACGTGACAGGAGTTAGCCTGATGTAGCAAGGCTTTGGATGGTAAGCGTGGAGCAGAGCTGATGCGCAGCTGCCACTCGTAGGGGCGGCAGCATTCCTGGAAGAACATTCGCATTCCTGCTTGTCTGGTGCTGCTGCAGGTGCTTGTCTACACAGACCGCCCTGGAAAGGCCACGCTCTTGGTGACCTCTCTCTCACTGTGTCTTCCTAGCTCGTTTTGGAGACTACGATTCCTCCGTGCACCATCCAGGCTATCTCGCCGACAGTCAGTTCATACCAGACCAAAACGAGGACTTTTTGGCAAAAGTGGAATCTCTTCACGAGCAGCACAGGTGAGGGCGGTGCTCGACGTGGCTGCCTCAGGTATTCACAGACGTCAGATCCCTGGTTCTCGATGGCACCTCTGCCTTTGGCTCATGAATCCTCTTCCAGGGTGCTGGGGGGTATGTGGGCCTCTGTGCTGCCATGGTTACAGTTACCTCTGGCATCCAGAGCATTTTTGTAAAGGTGACGCTTGCCGCTGCCTCTGCCATGCTTGTTGTTGGTTGGTTCGTGCCTGGAGGAAATCTCCCTTTTGCAACATCATTGCCCCACAGCTCCAACTCAGCAGGTCAGCTTTGTGGAGGTTCTCAACATTCAGCATGAAGGACTGTCTCTGCAGTTACTGTTAAATGCACAGACAGAAGGACAGACAGGCTGGCCCAGTTCCTGCCCTCTCCATGTTCAATGCTTGGAAACCATGTTCAGTGCTTGCCCTCCAAGGAGGGAGCACCGGGCTTCGGTAGCCGCCTGGAGCAAACCCCAGGGGCAGCAATTGCGCTGAGTCCCAACTTCTCATTCCCAGATCTGCATGTCAAGCCTGCCTGCCCTGACCCAGGAGGCCAGCTCTCTCAAGGACCCTGTCCCTTCCTGAGAAGGCCATCAAGACAAAAACCAAGGACCTGGCGCGATAGCACAGTGGTTAAAGTCCTTGCCTTGCACATGCCAGGATCCCATATGGGCGCCAGTTCTAATCCTGGCGGCCCCGTTTCCCATTTAGCTCCCTGCCTGTGGCCCGGGAAAGCAGTCGAGGATGGCCCAAAGCCTTGGGACCCTGCACCTGCATGGGAGACCCGGAAGAACTCCTGGTTCCTAGCTTCAGATTGGCTCAACTCCGGCCATTGCAGCCGCTTGGGGAATTAGCCATCAGACAAAAGATCTTCCTCTCTGTCTCTCCTCCTCTCTGTATATGTGGCTTTCCAATGAAAATAAATAAACCTTAAAAAAAAAAAAAGGCTAAGTGAGCAGCATACCTTCTTAGGATGTACTGCCAAACCTCACCCAGAGCGGCTGCCCAGGCAAAAGTCAGCATCCGAAAATAGTACCGGGCCAGTGGCATTTCAAAGTTTGCAGCCACTGCGGGGAGGAGAAAGAAAGAGCTAAAGGTGAAGCCTAAACTCAGCATCAAGCGATGAGTCAGGGTGGGCGTTCTGACAGGTAAGGGCCTCTCTATCTGCCTGTGGGGGACATGCTCAGTGGGAAGTATTGTTTAGCTTAGAATAAAGAGAAGGTGAAATGAAGCCAAGCTGAGCAGACAGGAAGAAAAACCTGGTACGGTAGAATTTAGGTTGGAGTGTCTAAGATGGATAATGAATAAAAGCAGGCATGTAGTAACCTAAAGCAGTGTTACCAAGTTTTCCAGGTTTTTGTTTCTTAGTTTTTAAAAGTTGGCCTTATGTCGTGCATTTATTGAGAGGGTCCTCTCTTCCCCTGCAGTGGGCTAAAGCAATCAGAAGCAGAATCTTGTTTCATCAACATAGCACGGACCCTCGACTTCTACGGCGTGGAGCTGCACGGTGGCAGGGTGCGTATACCTGCCAGTCCCGTTTTGGGGTCTGAAATTGTCTTATTTTAAATTCCAAAAGTTTGAAAATCTGTTTAGTGACACTTTTCCGTCGTTGCAAACCAGATCTCTTAGCAGTTACATGGAAGGCTTATCAAGCGATACTGAATTTTGGTGGTCACTTATCAGGCAGCTTTTCTCATGTTTGTCTTTGTACCCGGAGATTTTTTTTTTTCGCTCTTGAAAGAGGTCAGGGGTCTGAACACTTGCAGTTTTTGTAAGATCATTTCATCTTGTGTTTGAAGAAACAGTTAGCAGTGTGATGAGCTGTGTGGGTTTTAAGCCAAGTTAGAACTAGTCATTGAAATGTGATAGTTTTGCTTCAGTTGGTTGAGACTGTTGTAACAGTAGAGCCACTGCATGCCTCGGAGTTAATGCCCTTCCCCCAGGGATGCACTGAGCTGGGCTTCACCATTATGCCCACTTCACAGGTGAAGACACGGATCCTTGGGATCACAGCCAAGATCACACAGCGCCGGTGTCGCAGCTCGGTACCTGACACTGTCTAGCTGCAGCAGTGACTCAGTTATAATATTGTCTACCTGCAGTTGGCTCACATCCAACCCAAAAGGAGACAGATGCTCGTTGCGCACATGCCAGCGTTTGTTCTAGATGCTTTTGTAGGGAACCACAGACTCTCCATTTAGGATGCTGGAAAGTCAGTCTGCAGCGCATCCTCTCTCTACATGTGGGATCTGAGGAGGTTGGCTTGCACCAGGCTGTACTCCGTGAGCTGAAACCCCCTAAGTCTCAGTAACCTGGCAGCACAAAGCTTCTGTCTCAGTAGCTCAAATCCCCTGGGCCTGAGTGCCTCTTCCAGGCAGCCAGATTCCTTCCAGTTACTGCTCACGATCTGGACTGCATCTTGCTCGTGAACACACCGTCCTCTGTGACCTCTGAGCCTAGCTGGAGGTGTGCAGACCCCCTGCTGCAGCCCACATCCCTTCCATGAAGGGCATGACTAGTCGTGTGGCTGCTGGGAGAGCTGGGAAAGGCAGGGTGGATGTGGGAATTCAGGAAACAGTAACTGCAGGTGAAACGGAGCACTGGGGGCAATCCAAGAGACCCAGCCTTTGGTCTACTGAAGCCATTTATGTATTTTCTTATTCACTCAGTTTTGATTTAATTTGCTAATTTGTTCTTCCATTACGCCTGCTAGATATTTTCATTTACAGTCAGCCCCCAGTACTCACTGGGGCTGATTCCAGCATGCAAGTGCCTGCACACGCACACACACACACACACACACACGCACACACACAAGCTCCAAAGCCTGTGATGGTCAAGTCCCTGATACAAATGATCAAGTGTTTGTATAGAACCTCAGCACATCCTCCTGGGTACTTGAAATCACCGCTAGGCAACTTAGAAACCCCAATACTGCAGAAATGGCTGTCACATTGTATTGCGTGTGGGGACAGTGAACAAAGGAAAGTCTGGGCCTGTCCAGCACAGACACAGTGTTCTTCCTGTTGCTTTTGGTTGAACGTGTGGATATGGAACCCTCTGCCCTCCATCGTGCAGATTCTGCTTTGGTTCTGCTTTGCACACATCGCATGTGTTCCCCACCTGCCAACTGCATTAGCATTGTGGCCTCTGTCCAATTTATCACACCCTCCAATGTTCAGGCTGCTCTCCGATCTGATCGTCTGTGGTACCCACCACATGCTGTTCCCGAAAACCATGTGCCATGCCCTGTCTAGGTCCTTTATTCTGTGCTCTAACTTTGTCCTTAAGATGGATTCTGTAATTCCTAGGATAGCAAAGAAGCATTGAGACCTAGAGGTCCCAAGTAGCATGGTTTGTGAGTAGCACACCAGGGATCAGTGCCCCGTTGCAGCTAACTCACCCTGCCACTTCTCACCAGGTCTCTAACCAAGAGATGGGAATGGCAGTGAACTGGCTTCTGCTTGCTTTGGGTGCAGACCCATTGAAAAGAGCTGGGGACCCTTTTTCTTCCCTCTGCCTCTCGTTGTCTGCCCTTCCCCTGATGAGCAGGTGCTTTGTCAGAGATGGATGTATTGGACTATGTGCACCATTTAACTTTCTAGAAAAAGATCTATTTATTTGAAAGGTAGAGTCATAAAGACAGAGAGAGGGAGGGAGAGTGATCAACCAGTCTTCCATCTGCTGGTTTACTCCCCTAGTGGCTGCATCAGCCAGAGCTGGGCCAACCTGAAGCGAGGACCCTGAAATTTCTTCCAGGTCTCCCACATGGGTGCAGGGGCCCAGTTACTTGGACCATCCTCTGGTGCTGCTTTCTTGTGCGTATTAGCAGGGAGCTGGATCAGAAGTGGAGCAGCACCCACAGGAGGTTCTAACACTGCAGGCTTTACCTGCCTCTAGCCTTGATGTGGAGAGGAGGAAGAATCACTTTTTTTTTTTACCATCAGCAGCTCTGCACTTCTAAATTTTCACTATTTTGCATAAAATTATTTGGGTTCAAGGTCTTTATAATTTTAACGTGACTACAGAAGGTTAATTGTGGAAAAACGTATCATTAAATGTTATTTAAATGATCCTGTAGAATGAGCTGGAAACCCGGTGACTTTCTGACCCAGGTGTCCTGTGGCTGGTGGTCGGTGTCAGCGGCTCTCTAGAGGATAGGTACCCGTGTGGGGGTAATGCTGTCACTTGTGGAGCTTGGTGCTCTTTGTTAAGGCATGGGGCTTTCCTGGTCCCAAAGGACACTCACGTGAGCGCACCCCACCATGAACCTGCGCTCTTCCTCCTGACAGGACCTGCACCATTTAGACCTCACGATCGGAGTGGCCTCGGCAGGCATCGCTGTGTACCGGAAACACATCTGCACGAGTTTCTACCCTTGGTAAGCACCACGGTGATGAACTTCTAGACTGTGCTGTAAGAATACACTGAACATAGTTGGTGGTGTGTCTGATTTTCCACTTTGATGGTTAAAGAAGGGATAGAGCACCTCCTTCAGGTTTTCGCCTCTGCAGTTCATCCAGATTTAGTGCTTGGGAACACCAGCGTTGGGGTCACACGAGTGCTCTCTCCATTGGTGTCAGCCCATGGTTAAGGGCTGCTGTGCTGAAGCATGGCAGGTGAGAGAGTCTGACAGTGGAGGGATCCCTGCTGGGGCAGAGCCTGGGCACAAGCTTCCTTCTAAAGACTCAGGAGACCCAGGGCATGTGGTCGGAGGGCAGGAGCCAAGGCAGCCAGGGTGGGGTACGGTAGCCCCATCTTGTCTTGAAGAATGTGTCCCAGCACCCCCAATGGATGCTGGAGTCCTGAGTGTGTGTACCATGGCTTTCCTAACACATATACATCTATGGTGAAGTTTAATTTATAAATCAGGCAGATTCAGAGATTAATCCCAACAATATGTAACAATTATAAGTGTAGGCCACAATAAAGGCTGTGTGGATGCAGACTCACTCAGTGGGAGAGGCCCAAGACGAATGCTGATGTTTTCAGGTCACAGTGGTCCATGGGGGACGGAAACCTCAGACAGAAAGGAGCTTCCTGATGACGGACGGTGCTGAAGGTGCCAGGCTGCGGGCGGGTGGGTGAGGGGGAAGAGCTTTTCTGAGAGACATGGTGCATCAGAAACACCACCACGTGGGTGTTGATGTGTCGGTGCCTGGGATGGGGTGGGACCAACGGGCTGGGTCGGCCGAGGGCTGTGAGTGCTGCAGGCAGGCAGACATGCAGGAGGGGCAAAAGCGCAGCCATGTCACAGACAATGGAGCTTTGCAGACCAGTGGCAGCCAGGAAGGGAGTTAGGGAAAGGAAAGAAGAAGCCAGGGTACCGGGGGCTGTGCCAGACAGCATTTGATTCACAGGTCTGAGCCTGCTGCTTGGTTTGGCCACAGCGGAATTCACCAAGTAGGCTGCAGAGATGTTTGTCACAGCATCAGTTAGACCACAGAGGCAAACCTGTAGGGAACTTAGAGCAGTGCAGGCACAGACGCTGTTAGCATCCGTCGTCATCACTGGGTGCTTCGTGTGTCTGAGCCAGCATTCTACAGTACCTGGCGTAGGAGCGGTTGTTATTCCCAGCTTGACAGAGAGGGGAACAGAGGCTCGAAGAGTTCAGCGAGAACTTGTGCAGGTCTTACTGTAAAGGGTCCGTGGCCTTGACATCCACACACACCTGATGCCAGAGGCTGTGCTTCCATTCTGCTGTAAATTGTATTTGTGGAAAATGCTTTAACAGCGTGATGGACTTAGGGACACTGGTTTTCTTTCCAACTAGGTTTACAGTGTGTCTATTTTCCAAAGCAAAACAGAAAACCAAGTAGCAGCCCTATTCTGTTTCAGTAGGAAATTATTTTCACAATAAAATCAGTATGTCAGGTAACATCTTTCCTCTTGCCTCGGCTAAAAGCACCTTCTTGGAAATAGGAAGCTGCAGCCTTGGTGTGGTCAGCAGGCCCGGGTCAGGCTGAGCAGACAGGGAAGTGTGCACAGGGCTTATTTTTCCTTACCAAGCCCCTCCAGAAGCCAATAGCCTCCCCTCGCTGCCATTGGCCTGTGGTTACCAGGATCCAGCTTACTCTAAGACAGAACCTCCCAAGATCCCACAGACACAGGTTGGACCATAATGTTTCATAGGTATTGGGAGTCTCATGGGTACACATCAGGAAGCAGGTACATAAACAACATCCTTTACTGGAGGTCCTACAGGGGCTCTGATGACCTCCCCTCACCCCAGCCCCAGGCTTACCTGCAGACATGTAAATGCCCCCCTCCTCGTCCTCCAGCATCGAGCCAGCCCTCCTTAGAGAGGCCTTCCCTTGTCCCTGGTGCAAACATCAGAGACCAGCAGGGAGCCTGGTGCAGAATGGCAAGTCCCAGGGACTCCAGTGGGGGACCTGGACAGATGCCCCTGAAGGGCAGGATGCAAGAAGGGTGGGTCCTGAGCCTTCTTGAACACCAGACAGAGTCTGAAGATCCTCTGGGTGTTGACCCAAGGGAATCAGTTCTAGAGAGAAGGCACTGTGTGTATAAGTCACAGGATGAAGGGCGGCTAGAGAGGTGGGCAGGTCAAGCTGGAGTGCTGTGTGATCCTGGGAGCCCCAGGCAAGAGGCTAGGCCACATCAGGTATCTCAGGTGCTGCAGCATATGCTCAGCCCTTCACACACTCAGCAGACCCCAGACTGCTACATGTGATGGGCACTCATACAGTAAGTTAATTTGGTATGCATCATTATTTCTTCAGTACCCGGCTCCCTCATTACCAGATTCCACATGGCTGTGCCCACTGTCTGGTTCCCTACTACAGTAGGCCCCCCCGCACTTCCTTCCCTTTATGAATGAGTGCAGGGCAGTAGAGAGCCACTGCAGAGCCTGACGCCCAAGAACCTCAGACATTGTCTGCCCAGTGTCAAGTTTGCTATGGGAGAGAAAGCTGCCAAGGACAGACATTGGGGTCAGCCTGTGGGAACCCCCTGCATCAGGCGGCGGGGGGGGGGGCAGGTAGTGTCCAGCCCAGGGCTCCCTGAAGTGAAACCAGTGAGAGAGCAGGAGAAGCCCAGATTCCCGAAGGGTACAGTGCAGTGCAGGAGTGAAAACTCACAAGCTCAGCTTGTCTCCTGCTGTGTCCTGCAGAACAGGTGCTGGTGCTCCTGCAGCTGCAGCTGCTGCTGGGCACAAGACAGCTACATGGGCACTCACTGCCCTTGGGGAAGAGGAATGGGATGGTGTGTGACACACCCAGACAGGGTGCTCTGACTCATTTGTCAGCAGAGTGCCTGTGTCGCATACATACTGCATAGCTGCACAGACATTGTGAGCCCACCAGGAAAGTGTCCAGGCTTAGGGGTCACCTGAGACCTCAGGCTCAGATCCTGGGTCCCAACATCCCAACATTCCTGACTGAGTTGCCTCCAGTACCCTGGAACACCTCAGTGTCCTCATCGGACAACTGGGTATAGCAATCTGTACGTGTGGAGATGGTTGCAAGGCTTGATGGAGGGTGTTTGCGAAGTTCTTTGTAGCTACCTGGGTGTGTGGGTGTGGTGTGGTGTGTTTTTAAAATGCCCAGTTAAGCACAGCTATTTGGCTGGTGTGCCTGACATGTGACAGTGAAGTCACAGAGCCAGGAGACCCACTGGGCCAGGCCCATCCTCCCTCTGCTGCTCCACCCTGCCCCTGCCTGCCTTCCTTGTACCTCCACCAGCCCCTGCAGGGCAGCTGTGTCATAGAAGAGAGCCCTGCCCCTGCCTCTTGTTATTTAAAGGCTGCGTCATAATCCAGGGGCTCTTGGGTGGCGCTCAGGTCAGTGAGCTCCTTGGTGCTCAGCTGAGGCCACAGGGCTGTTGTCATTGCCCGAGGAGCAAACCAAGACGCCGAGAAGCCCCCCAGGCAGAGAGGCGGCACGCTGGCTGGTGCCTGATGCTTGTGCTTGATTTCTATTTTATTTTTTTCTTTGTTTTTTGTCTCTGTGTGTTTTTGTATGTTTTTTTCAGGGTGAACATCCTCAAAATTTCCTTCAAAAGGAAAAAGTTCTTTATCCATCAGCGACAAAAACAGGTGAGTCCTGGTCCCCCTGTATAGTTTCTTGCCTTGCACAGTGACTTCCGCGCTCAGTCCTTCAGGGCCCGGAGAGTCCTAGCTGGAGGTTTAGTGGGGAGTCTGGAGCTGGGTGTGGCTGCGGCCATGGGGCTCTGAAGCCCCACGTGTCTGTGGGATCCACATCTGTGTCCTGCTCAGAGAATCAGCCTCCAAAGAGGCAGAGATTCAGATCCTGGCTCTTGCAAGGAGCAGCAGGACAAGTGATTTGGCCTCCCCTAGCCCATGCTGCATGTTCCCAGAAATGCAGTAAAACCCACTTCTTGGGGGAGCCGTGAGGATGAAATAGACGAGCATTGGGGTGAAAGCCCACAGCCAAGCCCTCTGTAGGGTCAGCTGCCTCTGAGGATGTGTGCAGCACGCCCGAAGGCTGGCTGGCTGACTGGCTGTGTCTTATAACATGGGTCCATGACACATCCATGGCTCCTCCTGGCAGCAGAGGAGGGCAGGAATAGGACCTGGACATGGTGCAGCTGAGGCTCCCACAGCCGCTGAGTTGGGGAGCTGGCATCTGAACCACAACATCCCACTTAATCTTGTTACCCTGCATGGTTTTCACTAATCATTACTCTATCCATTTTGCAATTTTTAGAAAGACAATACATACTAAGAACGGTCCAGCCTAGCAGTGAACTTAAAAATAAGAACACTGAAGTTCAAACAGGGATGAAAACCTGGGTTGCTTAACTTCCCAGTGCAAGATACAGGCCAACCCAAGATGCTGACGATGGCATTTGATGTGAAAACCAAACACTGCCCTCATGTAGGATTAAGACAAAACAAATGATTCGCCTGGGTTCCCTGAATTTAGCCCTGTGCTCCGTGGGAGGTGGATAAACAAACCCCAAGGGTTCCAAAATCGCCATTGTCAGATAGGCGAGAGAAACGCCAAGGCTAAATCTTAAAAGGAACAGGTCAGACGCACTGGGTCTAGTTGCTCCAAATATGTCCAACTCAGAAAGGAAGGCAGGTGTGAAGGAAAAGCTTTCCTCAGAGGGCATGGATGGGGAAAGGTAGGTTGTGGTCATGTGTATGGCCAGTGTCATCAAAGTGGGCACGACTTCCTGCCCAGGAACCCTCCTGGGACCCCAGGGAGTGGGCATGGTGCTGTCCTAGCCCAGGTCCTGCTGTCTGATTGTCACCCCTGTGGGTACGACACTCATGAGACCCCACTCCTGCCCCCCATGCTGATGGCTGCCCTCCCAGCCAGCGTCCTGCCAGCCAGTTGTTGCCCATGTGGGTACAATGCCCCTGCCTGCTGTGCTCATGTCTGCCCTGGTTCTGTTCCAGACGGATTCCAGGGAGCACATCGTGGCCTTCAACATGCTCAGTTACCGCTCGTGTAAGAACCTGTGGAAGTCCTGCGTGGAGCACCACACGTTCTTCCAGGCAAAGAAGCTGCTACCTCAGGAGAAGAATGTTTTTTCTCAGTACTGGACCCTGGGCTCCAGGAACCCCAAAAAGTGAGTATGCCCAGAGGACATTGTCTGCCCTGGTCAGAGGGTGGACCTCCTAGAGCAGAGAGTGCCCGCACCCCAGGGCTGCCTGCACCAGCTAATGATCTGTCGGGTCTCTGAGCACAAATGCCCAAGATGTCCATATTCTCAGCGTTTCAGGACACCTGTGTATCTCAGCATTTGTTGCTGTCCCCTCCCCTACTATCCTTTGAGCCTAATCCAGCACACACAGTTGCACCTGTCCCACACCTTGTCACGGCAAAGGAGCATGTGACAGGGACTCCAGGTAGCAGCCTGATGCCAGCGTGTTGGGCTTTTCCAACCTGGTGCCACTAAGCCAGCCTCTCCTGTTGATATTAATTCCATACAATGCTCCATAAGACTGAATAAGGGGAGAGGGATTCAACCGCATGGTTAAGACACCAGTTGGAATACTTGGGTCCCATATCAAAGTACCTGGATCGAGGACTGGGCTCCAGCTTTTGACTGGCGTTTGACTTTATCTCCCTGCCAATGCAGAGACCATGTGGCAGTGATGCTGAATTGAGTCCGTGGGTCCCTGCCGCATTTTTGTCTCTTGGCTTTGGTCCTGCCCAGTCCTAGCCCTTACAGGTATTGGGGGAGTGAACCAGCAGATAGGATCCTCTGCCTGGCTGCATACCTGCCTCTGAGATAAATGAAAGAGCTCAAGCAGTAAATTCAGATTTGTAGAGTCCAGTGAGTTTGGGATGGGCTACCTATAACAATTCCAAAATAATAGTATAATTGTAGCTGGCAGTTATTGAGTATTTCTGCCAGGCACATACTTATTAGCTGTTGTAACCATCTGTGAGACGGTACCATCGTCTACAGGAATGATATTAACATTATGTAATGACTAATCCAAAGAAATGTATATAAATGTGTATGCAGTTGACATAAATTGTAGCTTCAATTAAATTGTATTTATTCTGTAAATGAAACCACCATGCAGTTTATCCTTGCTTTCTTTGGTCTCAGACTGCCTTTGAAATAAACGTGAGATGTGGCAGACATTATTTTTCAAGTTATAATTTCAAAATAATTTGTTGGTTTTTCAAAGTCGTGTCTGAGTTGGTTGCTGCAGTTGCTAAATAGGGAAGGCCCACGTCTGAGCCATTGTTTCATAAGTGGAACTGCCTCAGACAGTCCAGTGACCCTTTCTGTTAGTATCAGTGATGCTATTTATGGAGCTAAATATTCTTAGTGTCTGCTCTTAGCCAAGAACAAATATATTCTTTACATGTTTATCTTTTGAATTCTCTCTGGTACTTTTTTTTTTAAGACTTATTTATTTCTTTGGACTATTTACAGAGAGAGAGAGAGGAGAGAGAGTGAGACATCAATTTCCCACCCCCACTGGTTCACTCACCGGATGGCTGTAACAGCCCAGGCTGAGCCAAAGCAGAGCTAGTTCATCTGAGCCCCTGATGTGAGTGGTGAGGCCCAGGCACTTGGACCGTGTTCCGCTGCTTTTCCTGGTTCCAGGCAGCCGGATTAGAAGTACCACAGCCAGGAGTCGAGATTCTGAGGTGGACTCTGACAGCCAGTGGATCTTGGAGGGATTTTCTCAACCTTGGAGCAACAAAATCAACATCTCAGAATTGTTGAAACCACTTAAGCAGTACCCTCAAAACATGCTGCACACCAGGGACCTTGGAGTGACATCAGGTGGCTGTCCCACATCCTCGGGTACTGATGTGGTTGGGCTGCTGGGAGCGGCCCTCTCCTCCTCTCTCTCATCTTCCTCTAGAAACAGGGAGAACAGAAAGGAAGACTGAAAGTAGACGCTTTATCCACTTTCCCACATTTTTGGACCCTTCCCATCCTAATCAGTGGTTCACATTCTCCTTAACTATGTAAACATTATTAAAAAATTGATCTATTATGAGAGGGAAAAGGAAGATAACAAACAAAAATAAAATTAATACTCTTTAAAAGAAGAAGTACAGCAGCCAGGACAGAAAGCATTATCCGTATGGGATGCCAGTGTTGCAAGCAGTGGTGGTATGCACTATACCTCAATGCTGGACCCTGTATGATATTTTTTTCCTTAAGATTTATTTGTTTATTTGAAAGCCAGAAAGAGAGATATGCCATCCTCTGGTTCGTTTCCTTAATTGACTGCATCGGTCAAGGCTGGGCCAGGCAGAAACCAGAAGCCAGGAGCTCCACACGGGTCTCCCGTGTGGGTAACATGGATTCAAGGCCTGAGCCTTCATCTGCCACCTCTAAAATGTGTTAGCAGGAATCTGGATGAGAAGTGGCGTAACCGGGGCTTGAACAGGCACTCCGATGTGGAATGTGGGTGTACTGTGCGGTGGCTTGAACAGGCCCCCCATGTGGAATGTGGGTGTACTGTGTGGTGGCTTGAGCCGTTACGCCAAACACCTGTCCCATCTCCAGTGTTCTGATGCATCTCTTGTCTCTGCTGCTGGACATAGTTTATTGTCTCAGTATAAACTTGAGTTAGATACTGCTATTTTGGTGGCTTAAGTCAACAGCCGTGCTACTATGGGTCAGGCATGCAGGGAGACCTTGGCTAGAGGACTCTTCTGTCCCATCTGGTACAAGTTGAGCTTCCTGGATCCAAAAAATCCAAAATGCCCCCAATTCTGAAACTTTTTGAGTGTCACAGGAATTTCAGATTTTTGAAGATTTGTTCATTTTTATTGGAAAGGCAGATATACAGAGAGGAGGAGAGACAGAGAGGAAGATCTTCTGTTCATTGATTCACTCCCCAAGTGGCCTCAATGGCTGGAGCTGAGCCGATCCAAAGCCAGGAGCCCAGAGCCTCTTCTGGGTCTCCCACTTGGGTGCAGGGTCCCAAGGCATTGGGCCATCCTTGACTGCTTTCTCAGGCCACAAGCAGGAAACTGGAAAGGAAGCAGGACGACAGGGATTAGAACCTGTGCCCATGTAGGATTCCGGCATATGCAAGGCGAGGACTTTAGCTGCTAAGCCACTACACTGAGCCCAAGAATTTCAGATTTTGAAACATTTTGGATTTCTAATTTTCATTTAGGGATGTAGACCTCATAAAGTTCACTCAGCTATTTCAAACTCCCCCAACCCTAAAATCTGAAATCCTGATGGTCCCCGGCAATTTTAAATAGTGGGTCTTTGACCTGTGTGGAATGGGGTTTCCAGATGAGACCCCCTACTGTCCCTGGGACTGCTGGTCTAAAGGGTCCAAGGCCCAGTGCTTTGGTGGGACAAGTAGAGGCCTGGGCTCAGCCAGACCCTTGACCTCTCCAGGTGGGCTTTCAGGAGGTCTGGTTCGGTTTCCTCCATGGAAGCCTCAGCTTCTGCAGGCTCTGTAAGGGTGACAACAGAACCGTAACTGCTAATTTCTGCAGTCACAGGCCTGCCCCACCGCAGTCAGCCCATGCAGCTATCTTTCATCCATCATGAGGAACCACTTGGGGTGTGGGGGTGGCACAAGGCAGCAGGGACTCCCAGTATCAGTTCCAGCTGACTTTTGAGACCCCTGTCTCATCACCTCCACTTAAGAGGTGGGGAGACTTGCAGAGGTCATGTGCTTACCCAGCACCAAAGGAGAATGTCCACACGTGTGTGCATCCCTGCTCTAAAGAGTTCCATGGAAAGAAGTGAGTTCCTTATTTTCCAAGGTAATGGGACAGTGGAACACTTCTTCCAAGAGTCTCTGTTAATAACTGTGACATATTTTTAGGAGTCTGTTCCAACAAACCTTACAATGGAGCAGCTCCCTCCCCCTGTTCTGACACTGTGCCCTTGGTCCATGGTGCTGTGGTAAAGAGGCCAGACCGCCCCCAAGGGAAGATGCTGCCGACCCCGCTGCTGGGAGCATAGCGACCAGGGCAGCCACCCTGTTCTTTGGCACGAATGAGTGAATCATGTGCTAGGAAGAGTTCTGTATTGCCTTTGTTCTTTTGCTCAGTCTTTGTTCTGTTTTGGTCGGTTGGTTGAAGGTCACGAGGAAATGTGTAGAATGTTTGGATTGGGAACTTCCAAAGCAGGCTTCAAGTTTTCTCCTATGAGATAATGGTGTTCTCTGATGCTAAGAGGTTAGTCAAGTTCAGAAGTCAGTTTTAGGGACCGCATGTTCAGAAAATGGGTCTGGAAACCACTGCCTGCATGTATTCTGGGGTTCTGTAGCCAACAGTGCCCCGGGATTGATGGCAATGACTGTTGCCTGGCAAGATAAGCAAGAGCATCTAGAAGGAGGGCTAGTGACATTGCTCATGCTAGCCAGGCTGGCGTGAGAATTCCTACATGTGAAGTGAACTGTATATCTGAGTTACCCTGGAATCGTTCCTGATCTGGTGAGGCTTGGTTGTATTCTGGAAACAGCTCTGTGGCCTGACATAGTGAGGACCAGAAAAGATACCACATCAGGGCGAGTCACGAAGGACTGGCTGCTGCCGTCTGAGTGGGAGCGGCTGTCTGGCCGGGGGAGAAAGCACGCATAGCCTCTCATGTCTTTGTGGTGGAAAGTGAAGCTGCATCTGGTTTTCCAGGTCTGTAAATCACCAATACTGCAAAAAGGTGATCGGCGGGATGGTGTGGAACCCGGCCATGCGGAGATCTTTGTCGGTGGAACACCTTGAAACCAAGAGCCTGCCATCCCGGTCCCCTCCCATCACTCCCAACTGGTATGTCCCACCTCCGCCGTGCTGCCCACTGGCAGATGCGTCATTGCCTGTGTGAGCAGAACCCCAGCTTCACAGACCCCCCAAGAGGTGGAGGTGACCTTGCTTTCCATAGGCCCATTTGCACCTGAGGGCCATTGCAGAGGGAACTTGTTCCCGTGAAGTGCAAGTCTCACTGCGTCTTTTCTGTGGTTTGGAGCACTGAGACGTTCTTCTAGGAAGACATCTCTGTATTGTGAACGGGCAGAACAGCTGTGCATCTGGATGGGGTCGCTTGGATCTTGGCACAGGCTCACGCTGTGTTAGGATTACAGCCGGGTCCATTGCTTAGCGTCGAGAACATTGAACATCCTTTCGATGACTGATGCTGAAATGCATTTAGTCGCCCCTGGCCACAGCTTGTCTTTCTGGGCTTTGGAACATTAGAGATGATTCTGCATGAGCAGCTGCTGCCCTTAGAGGGTTAACGATGGATCGGCTCTAGGATCCCTGGCAAGCTGTGTGGCTGTGGGAACTGCAGTGCCTGGGCAGCACTCTACACAGCTCTGTGATAAACAAGTACGGTTAGCTTCAGGGCAGTGTCTATTTCCCACGCACACCACGCAGAGTAACCTTTCAGGAAAGCTTTGACATCAGGATGCCTGGCCCTCTGGACCAGCTACTGATGCACAGAAAGGGAGCAGCTGGCCCGGGGAGGAGGTGCCTGGCCAAGCAGGGGAAGCACCTGGCCGAGCCGGGAGGGCTGTGGGCTTGTTTGCAGCAGAAAGAGCAGAACTCGGGTTTCGGCCCAGCCCTAAGCTCCAGGCACCTTTTCCTCCCTGGTCTTGGTTCCCCTGTGGTCTTCAGGGCGCTTTGCTTCCCTTGCCTGACACCCGACCTTTCCCCACCCCAGGCGAAGCCCTCGGCTCCGGCATGAAATCCGCAAGCCGCGGCACTCGTCTGTGGATAACCTCGCCAACGAGATGACCTACATCACAGAGACTGAAGACGTGTTCTACACGTACAAGGGCCCCCTGTCCCCCAAAGACAGTGATTCCGAAGTGTCCCAGAACCGAAGTCCGCACCGAGAGTAAGAAACCTGCCTTTTCCCTGCTGGCTGGCCAGGCCTCGGTCATTGGGTTCCACCTAGGTCCAGGGTTGTGCTTGGAGAGCAGGAAGGAGCCATTGCTCGTGGACAGCTTAGCAGGGCACCACCTGCCAACAGGGGCTGTGGGCCCCACTCTGCCTGTGTGGGCTATGTACCTGGGCTCCGTACTTTTTCTGTCCATATGTTTTGTGTGGCATCCCCAGGTCCTGAGCATAGCCCAATTTAAATCATCCCAAGGGCCGGCGTTGTGGCATAGCAGGTTTAGCTAGCACTTGGGACTCCAAATCCCATACCAGAGCACCAGTTCAAGTCCTGGCTGCTCTGCTTCCAGTTCAGCTTCTTGTAAATGCAGCTGCAAAGGCAACAGCCAATGGCCCAGGTGCTTGGGTCCCTACCACCCACGTGGGAGACCCAGATGGAGTTCTTGGCTGCTGGCTTTGGCTTGGTCCAGCACAAAGGACCAAGCCAAACAAACCAGACGATGGAAAATCTCTCTCTCCCTCTCCCCACCATTCTGGCTTTCAAGCAGATTAATTTTTAAAATTAAAAAGTTGCATCACCCGCAGTCCAGAGGGTCAGAGTTTCGCCCTCCCGTGATGCCGGTTCATCAGGAACTACACACTACCTTCTGAGAGCAGGAATTGCGCCCTTGGCGTTGCTGCTTTCTGCTTTCAGTGGAAAGTAGCACAGGGTAGCATCTCTGTTTGTCAAAATTTTGTCCAAAATGGTTTAGCTAAATCAGGCTGGGTTTCTGTGTTGTTCTTATCTCTTTTTTCTATTTAAATAATATTGCTTAAGAAAAATGTTTGTGTATTTGAAGGGCAGAGTACAGAGAGATCTTCCACCTGCTGGGTCAGTTGCCAAGTGCTTGAAACGCCAGGGCCAAGCCAGGCCAAAGCCAGGAGTGCAGAGTTCCATCCGCACCTGTCATGGGGCTGCCAGAAACCCTAGAACTCAAGCCACCGTCTGTTAGAGGCGTTAGCAGGAAGCTGGATTGGAAACAGAGGCGGGACTCCACCCTAAGCATTCTGATACAGGCTGCAGGTGACCCGAGAAGTGGCTTAACCCTCTGTGCTTAACCCTCTGTACCTGCCACTTTAGAACAGTCTTTATTTACTTATTCAGAAGGCAAAGAGACAGGGAGTGAGATAGACAGCAGCCAGGACTATGCCAGACTAAAGCCAAGAGCCAGAAACATAGTCAGGATATCCCACGTGGGTGCCAAGGACCCAGCTGTCAGAGCAGAGGGCAGGGCTGAGACACAAACCCAGGAACACACAAGGGCATCCCAGGCTAGCTCAACCGCACCGCTGAGCCTGGTTCTTGGAGAACAATCCATTATCTTCCTTCCTGGGTTCAACTACATGGGCCTTTTTATGAATCCGTGTCAGTGAGTTCAGTTGGCTGCATCGTGGAAGAAGGTTAGGGCAGGTTAGCTCAAATCACTTTTGAAGTAGGTAAGGTGGAGAACATAACTGACATTTTAAGCTAGAGTGTGACATGATCAGATACACTGTTGGGAAGTCAGTCTTAAGTTGCTGGGTGTCCATTCTGTGAAGCTTCATGTTGTGGCCAAGATATAGAAACCCAATGCCTCCCCTCACAGCACAGGATCAGCCAGCGGGCACATCAGCTAATCTGTGAACCGTTACCACCGTAGCTCCCAGGCTTAAGGCCCTGAGTCCACACTGGCTATGCTGGAGACCAGCACAAGGGTGGCATGCCCTGCTCCGGGCTGTGCAGGACCGTGCTGCTGCTCTGTCCCCTGCCCACAGTGGCTGACTTGTTCTCAACACCTGCGGCTACATAATCCCCATGGGGGTGATTTCCCTGTGGCCTGCCCTGCCACTGTGCTATCGTCATGATCACTGTCTCTCATGCCAGCCAGCAGCCTACTGCCCCATCGTCGAGCAGGCTGCTTTGTGTGGCCCTGCAAAACTGCAAGCCTGTGTAGAAAGACAAGGCAGCCGTGCGGCTTCTATGACCAGGCCGAGCGTGAGTCCTCGCTGCGGCTCCGTGGGAAGTGTCTCCTCGGGCTCTGGGAGGCATGCACACACACGCGTACTCCCTGCAGCTTGCTGCCTGGCTCTGCCACCTTGCTGAGGGGTTGTTGAGCCTTCACTGCCTCAGATCAGCAGCTGCCAGCTGATTTAAAGTGAGGTAGAAGGAGGCCTTCGGGTCCTGTGTCCCTCCAACTGCTGTCCGAGTGCTTGGTAGCCTCACGTGGTCATAGACACAGCCCCTGGCCCTCTGCAGCTGACAGTGCTGTCGCCAGCACCTGGCTAGGTAGAACCCAGACTCCACCGAGGGCCCTGAACCACGGGCTGGTGTGCAAGCGAAGAGGGCATTTTGCAGAGGCTGGCGTGGCCATGGTAGGGCAGCTACTTAGAACTGGAATGGTCAGGTGGCCAGTGCCAGGCAGGGGAGTGGCCAGCCGTGCTTCATGCACTGGGGCATGCAGCCCTTCACAGGTGCTCCATCAGTGCCACGTCCACAGTACACAGCCGCCCACGGCCTTTGCTGGCCCCTGGGGCAGGCAGGTATTTGCCTCCATCCACTAAGCTCCAGGCCAGCTGGGCCGATAATACTTTGTCCTCCTCGTCATCACACTGTTGTTGTTTGAGGAGAGGAGAGGTTTGGGGGAGCAGTCGGAGGGCTCAGGGCGCTAGCTGGAGGAAGAGTAAAATATGAGTAGGGGAGGAAAGCGGAAAGTTCCTTAGAAAAGTCCCTTATGTCTGGCTGCACGCCCAGAGGAGCGGCTCTGGCTGAACATGGGCCCTGAGGTTCCATATCTGTAGCAGCGCCACCAAGTGGATGGTTGCAGAGGTACAGCCTTGGCAGTGCACTGCGGAGGAGGCACCTGTATGTGGAGGGGGTTCTGAACAAAGCTGTCACTGCCAGCGTTCTGTATTCTGTTCCTTACTTCCACATGAGACCACACTCTTCAGTAAAATGGAAAACCGTTCCAGTCCCACCCAGATGACAGAGAGGGACAGTGACGTACAGAACAGAAGCTGCCAGAAATGAATGTCAGGGCAGATTAGGGTGGTATGCAAAAGACTTTTGCTTTTTAAACTTTTTTTTTTTTGAGAGAAAGAGAGTTCCCGTATACTAATTCACTCCCCAAATGCCCGCTACAGCCACAGCTGGGCCAGGCCATACCCCAGAGCCAGGGACTCTTACAGGTCTCCGACATGGTTAGTAAGAACGCAGTTACTTGGGCCCAACCATTGTGGCATGGTGGATTAAGCTACTGTCTGTAACACCGAGTCCTTGACACTCCGCTTCCAGTCCAGGTCTGTGCTAATGTGCCTGCGAAGGCGGCAGAGGATGGCCCAAGTACTGGGGCCCCTGCTACCTGTCTTTCCCTTGAACCTGGCACAATTACCTGGCACTTGGTAGATGCAAGAATTAGTAATGATTTAGCTAGATGGCCAGACAGACCAGTGTCTGGACAGAGGACAGGAAAGGTGGGACAAAATGGGGCTCCCAGGTGTTCACAACGGGGTGCCACCAACTTCGGCTTTCACAACCACATCACAAGAGCAATCTCACACGATATGTCCCTGCAGCCCAAAGTTACTGTGACACCAGTGAGCAGGGCGGCATGCTGGGTGCCACCCAGGACCAAGACGGGGCAGACGTCCCACCGGGGCATCCAGGAGTGAGTTGGCTGAGGGTCAGCAGGTGCCTTCTTGATTTGGAGGTGTCCGGCAGCTCAGAGGCTGTGTAGGAGCAGACTCAGAGACCGTCATTCCACGTCAGGAAAGGAACTGAGTGCCCGGGAACTGTGCCACGAAGGCTGTGTCCCCATGGTCCATTGGCCATCTGCCCCACACTGGCCGCGCTGACGCTGGTCGATCACAACAAAACTCTGTGTAGTCCTTCTCCTCCTGTCTCAGGGACAGACCCCTTGCTTCTGTCTGCCCTCCTCCTTCCCTCCCCAGTCACTGGCTTTGTCCCACCCACCATGCTTCTGCCTGCCTTTGCTCCTCCCCTCAGAGGACCCCAATTCCACAGTCCCATGTGCTCTCCTCCCCCACAGTGGCTTTCCTCAGCAGCACCTGGGCTCTGGCCCCGCTCTTTGGGGTCTTCCTTCTTGGCATCCTAGTGCCGTGTCCTCCAGCTACTTTTTCTTCCCATCACTGATGCCCCTTCCCACCGTCTGTCTGCCCATTCTGGGCACCAGAATGTCCATGGTCCATCAGGCCAAATCGCAGCCACGTGATTCACTACTTCATTAGCTCCAAGAAGTCTCTCCGACCCCTCTTATAAGCCAGGCTTGAGCATTGCCCTGATTGTCATAATAGTCTAGTAGCATACCATTATTTTTAAATACCGGGGCTGTTCTGGATAGATCATTGAGTTGTTTTTTTTTTTTAAGATTTATTTATTTATTGGAAAGTCAGATATACAGAGAGGAGAGACAGAGAGGAAGATCTTCCGTCCGATGATTCACTCCCCAAGTGAGCGCAACAGCCGATGCTATGCCAATCCAAAGCCAGGATCCAGGAACTTCTTCCGGGTATCCCACACGGGCGCAGGGTCCCAAAGCTTTGGGCCGTCCTCGACTGCTTTCTCAGGCCACAAGCAGGGAGCTGGATGGGAAGTGGAGCTGCCCGGATTAGAACCGGCGCCCATATGGGATCCTGGCGCGTTCAAGGTGAGGACTTTAGCCACTAGGCCACACCGCTGGGCCCAATCATTGAGTTTTATAGTGCGAAAAAAATCTTTGTTAATTGCATGCATACTAACAAAGTAAAGAAACATACCTTAAAGCCTCATACAATGAAATCCACAAATTCTGGAGTTTCTTTACTTTGTTAGAATAGAAAAATCCATTGCCGTTTTATTGAGATGACTACTCCATGCACCTCTGTATCGTAGCCTTGTTTTTCTGATTTTTCCCACATGCCCTTTGCCCTTGGCATTGCTTCCAGCCACTCCTCTCCCCGCTCAGGGACGTTACAGATGGGCGAGCATCCTTTGCAACTTCTGGTCAAGTCCATACCTGTGGCACCAAGTACAGCTTGCCACTTGAGTGTAACAGTTGCCCCTTCTGCCACTAGATGGTGCTCTTGTAAACAGTAAGTCCCGGCAAAGTTGCCTTGCAGGGTCTTTCTAGCTTCCTTTTAATTTAAGTCTCATTTGGGTTGGGAAACTGAATTCAGTTCTCTGAAATTCATCACAAGCCTTCCCTCGAATGACTACTTAGGACTACAAGGCCAGACTTTTCCTTTGATCATTGCTTGCTCATAGCAGTGCTTCTGCTTCAGTCAGTTGCCCAATGTCCCAATGTTTTATTCAGATGAAAATCAAGGTTGTGAATACGATGCACACTTCTTGTTTAAATTAAGCTGCTCTGAACCCTCTAGGATACAAAGAAGCCCAGTTTTTAAGGGAAAAACACAGAGAAGAGCTGGAAAAGGGTTTAGTAATGCCTGTTTTTGCCTTAGCTAAGTTTCCGTGTGTGCCCTTCTGTTGTCGCTCTGCCTTGTATAAGGTTGGAATGAAACAGGGTCTTGATTGGAGAGAACCCCATCTTTGCAGGTGGATTCAGGCACCTGTGCCAGGCATGTGACTCTGAAAGGGGGCTGGGGTGGGGGCAGTGACACGTGTCAGTCCTGGCAGCCCTGTGAGATTAGATGGCATTGTCAGCCCAGGGGGGACAAGGCCTGGGACCTCTCAACCTTTGGAATCTTGTCTGAGTCTTTAGCCAGCGCCTGTGAAATGGGACTTGGGCCTGGTGACCCTAGGGGTCTGTTTAGCCTTCATCAGCTGTCAGTGTATGGGATGGACCTGTCCAACATGACTTCCTGTATGGCAGAATGCTCCTATAGCCATTGCTGCCCTGTGCTGGCGTCGGGCATGTGCCTGGCTGAACTGGTCAGAGGAAGGCTTCATTTGCATTCATGGACATTTAGGTAGCCCACATCATCACTTTGGACAGGGCAACTCTAAAACACCTAAGGATCTCTGTCAGTAGAGAAACATGAAAAACATGGGCTCTTCCTGGACCATTCGGAGTGTCACAGGCAGAGCACACGCACTGGGGATGGGAGACAGGGTGGTCGAGAGTCTCCTGAAGCAGGGACTAAGGAGGGGAGGTTGCCTACAGGGGAGATGGAGGCAGGTGCATTGGGGAGCTTGCCGGGCAGCGCCTGGGTCAGTAGCAGCACCGAGACCCACCTCTCGGGGCCTTGTGAGTGGCCAGGAAAGCCAAGTGCCCAGAGATGCCTGGATATTGATCCCATCCTCCTGTTAGTGGGAGGCTTTGGAGGTAAGAGAGAAGAGAGCAAGGGCAACCAGACGACATGGGGCTGGGCCTTGTGGCTCTGCTGCACTTGCCAGGGACCTGTGCCCACCTGAGCTGCCAGCCTTTGCCCCCGATGTGCCCCATCAGCAATGCTTGCGCGAGTGACCAACACCGACCCAGTGATTAAAATCTTTCCTCCTTCCCCACGATGAAGGAGCTTATCCGAGAACAATCCAGCCCCAAGCTGCCTGACGCAGAAGTCATCCAGTTCTGTGTCTTCAAACGCTCCAGGCTCCTCCTCCTCCTCCCCTGATGGCATGGACCAGAAGGTCTCAGAGGACCCCCACAGGGCCAGCCGAGGGGCCTCCACCGAGGACGGCAGCCAGTACTACTGCGACAAGGTGAGTGCATCACCCTGACCCTGCCGCTGGCCCCACATCTGTACCCCCGAGCCAGAAGCTCCACGACTGACCACTTTCGAATGTTTTCCAGAATGACGGCAGTGACGGCTACCTGGTCCTAATCCGGATCACGCCTGATGAAGATGGGAAGTTTGGATTTAACCTGAAGGTTTGCATCCACATTTGTTAGGGCCCTTCATGCCAGGAGCCTGTCTTCAGAGGAGCTTTTGACTTCCTAAACTAGCCGAGGAGATCGGCTCAGCCCTCGGAATGAGCCGCAGCGAAGCCCAGTGCCTTCTCTGGGCCTGGTGCTGGCCTTGCACGCTAGTCATGCCACCTTCCTGAGTTCTTGGCATCAGCAGCAACATCTGTTGTGAAGCCCACCTTGCAGGTGAATCTGGATGTTCTGCTCGGCCAGGACTTGCAGCGCAGCCCTCAGTGCAGCTCAGGCTGCTCCATCGGGGGGCATGGCCCGCCCCTTTTCCTGGCTGTCTCTAGCAGGGCCTGGCTGCTGACTAGATCCTCTGGGTCTTTGTGAAAGGCATTGTTGGGCAGGTGAGCTCCCCGCTGCATTGTTCCCTCGGTGGCTCGGCACAGCAGGTGCACCAGAGGCCTCCTGTTCATGAGACCCAAAACATTTCCTCTCTGGGCCCTTAACGGGCAAAGTCCCCAGCCACCCCGCAGAGCACAGCAAGCACAGGCATGTGGCCTCCTGGGACCTGCCGCCCCTTGTGAGCGCTCATGGAGCTGGAGTTCTGCTGAGGCCGCAGCCCTTCTGGGAGCTCCCTTCCCCAGCAGCGCTGGGACCATGGCCTGGGCAGTCATAGAAAGGAACCTGTGGCAGTCATCTGACCTGACCATGATGCCAGTCAGATGTCCACTTCCCACATTAGGAGTGCCTGGGTTTGGTGCCTGTCCCCACTCCTACTCCAGCCTCATTCTGCTAGTGTAGACCCTAGGAGACAGTGGGGCTGGCTTGGAGTTGGGCGCTTGTGACCCACGTGGGAAGACCTAGATGGAGTTCCTGAGCCCTGGGTTCAGCACAGCTGTTCCAACCATTGTGGGGCTGTGAGATGTTAGCATGAGATATGATCTTCTCTCTCTCTCTGCTACTCAAAGATTGTAGGAGCTCCTCCTTCCAGGTTCACCTTAGCTTCCTGGGCTGTGGCGTAGCATAAGGTGGCTTCCCAGCCTTCCCAGTTCTGCTTCTCCCTACAGACCCGGAGGGATCAGGGTCTTCCCTCGTTCCGGAAGGGCCGTAAGCTCTGCGATTCATTGCAGAGCCTGAAACAGGAGCCCCCTCCTGGCCACCAGCCCTGCCTTCATTGGTATCCCTGGGTGGCCAGGAGCAGCTCACTTGATTTTCTGCTTTAAAATGATCACAGGGAGGAGTGGATCAGAAGATGCCGCTCGTGGTCTCCAGGATAAACCCCGAGTCACCTGTGAGTAAATGTGTCACCTGTTGCTTCCCCTGTCTGAATCCTAACAGGTTCCTCTTTCTTGTGTGTGTGTTGGGGGCTTGCTTTATTAGGGGGATTGTTTTTTTCGTGGTAGCAAAAGAATGTATAACTGTGCCTATGTAGATAGATTTTCCAGAACTTTCTGGCGCAGTGGAGGCAGTTGGACACCTGCACCACCTAGGATCCCGCTCAGATGTGCGGGGTCTTTGTCAGATAGGCAGGGATCTTGTCAGGCGCAGGGGCTGTCAGGTCTCAGCCCAGGCTGCGGAGGCAGAACTGCATCTGTGGCAAGGTCCCGGGGTGACTCGTGGAGAAGTGATGCTCGATGGGAGGAAACAGGCTGCTCTGGGTAGAAATGTGGACCCTGTGCTGGTCCCACCAGCTCACCGCCAGCCCCACGCCCCGCACCCCATGCCCCCAGCTCTCTCCTGAGGCCTCCTAAGATCGTTTATTTTCTTTTCCTCCTAAAGTTTTGTATTGGGTGTTCATAAGGTGTCCAGCTCATCTTGCTGTGGATGATGACAATATCCACCTTCCCTGGTACCTTTCCCATCACTGGCTTTTGTGGAGCAGAGCATCAGAGTTACTGTGCCAGCTGCCAGGGAGTGTTTGGGACTTCAGCTTAGGGTTCACCCTTGTTGTTATAGAAGGATTCTGAGAAGGCTCTGCCATCGGCTACAGCCTCTTCATGTCTCCTCTCCCCGATGCGTTCTGCCTCTACCAAGGCCCCCTCGCAGAACACATTAGTCTTTCCTTCTATCCATCTCTAGCTGTCCACCTTAAAAACCAAAGGCAGCTACATGGTGGTCAGTGTGATGGACTCCCATAGCCAGCTTAGCCTTTCAAGTCCCACTGCCACCCAGCACAAGCTAGCCCCAGCAGCCCAGGTGTGAGAGATGAGAGTGCCGTGCCTTCTGCCAGACCTCCCCAAGGACTGCATCCCGGTAACCGCGGGAACTCGCTCCTCCCCCGCACACAGGCCGACACCTGCATTCCTAAGCTGAACGAAGGGGATCAAATCGTGTTCATCAATGGCCGGGACATCTCCGAGCACACGCACGACCAAGTGGTGATGTTCATCAAGGCCAGCCGGGAGTCGCACTCGCGGGAGCTGGCCCTGGTGATCCGACGAAAAGGTAACTGCCCCCCCCCCTGCCCGCCTGTTGGGGGGGAGGCACCCCCATGGGTGCACCAGTGTGTGTATGTGGTGGGGCAGAGGGCTACACTCCCAGAATGCACTGGAGAAAATCAGGAATACTCATATCACGGCTCAGGTGTCTGCCTCTTGGTCCCAGGAGGCCTGGCTTGGTGGCCTGCACCTGCCGTTCTCCTACGCAGGACCGGAGCCTTTCCCTGTTGTTCCCACATCCCAGCACATCTTTGCATTTCCTGAACCCTTTAGAAGGAGCTGGTTACCTTTGACCCATGCCTTGGCACAGAGGAAAGTGGGCCAGCACCAGCCTGGTGACCCCAGCTTTGCCTCCTGAACCAAGGCACTAGGGGAGCCAGAGCAAGTTCCACACTGCCTGCAGCTCCATTTCCAGGCAGGGTAACAGGAGCACAGCCAGAGTCTCTTCTCCCACCACACCCCACCCCAAGTTCTTAGGGAGATTCGATGACCCGTAGGGCCAAAGGCACCTGGCATGGCGCCTGGCCTGGGTTGGGCCTCCACGGGCTGTCATTGCTGCTTTTGTTGCTACGCTTGTGCCGTAACAAGCCATGTCCCTGAAGGCCTCCCACGCAACCTGACAGCACTGGCCATGAGGATGGGACATGGCTACGCATCCTTGCCCCACCCCTGCATCCATGTAGATGCAACCCCGCCTGTGTAGACACAGCTCTGCCTGTGTAGACGCAGCCCCATCCTGCGCTGCTACTGCTTGTCTGCCTCACCAGAGCTCCCAGCCCAGAGCCAGCAGGATGAGCCCTGATCCCAGCTCCTCAGCTGTGCAGGTGCCGCTGCCCGAATCCCAGCAGCCCCAGGCCAGTACCCAGCGGGGGCTCACTGTGCACCAGTTGCTCTGTGTCATCACCATCCTCCCCGAGGCCTGTGACTCTCCTCAGAGCTTCGTGGTGTTTTTCCCAAGCCGAGAGCAGAGCATGGGGCAGCAGAGTCCCAGAGGTGGCGGGTGCCCCGCCTCCCATGTGATTGGCAGGGAATTGCTCTCTGGCAGCAACAAGCAGGCCTCTCCTCACAGTGGTGCACATGTGGCTGGCTGGTGTCTCAGGGAGAGACCAGCAGGCAAGTCCCTCCTACCCATCCCCACTCTGGGCCCTGCGGGGGGCGGGGCGGGGGACACCTGCTTCAGGAGAAGGATTTCAATGTGCGGAGACTAGCAGCTGACAGAACAGTTGGCTTTCTAGTAATACGTTTCTTGCTTAAGTAAACATTTTGGTAGAAACAAATTCATTGGAAGGAAAATGCTAAAAAGTCCATGGTAGTACAGGCATCACACTCTGATGGTAGTACAGCTCATCACGCCCTCAGGATGGCACAGGAGGAGCTGAGCTGCTGTTGGCAGCTGGAAGAATGAGGTCACTGGAGTCAGATAGCATAACCAGGTTCCTGCGTCCCTCCCCGCCAGGTTGGCTCCCTGGGGACAAGCCACCTGCCCTGAGAGCTCACTCCCTCTCCTGGAAAGTGGGGGAGAGTGAGCCCAGAGGCAACATTGTGACCCCCTGCAGCCACGTGGTTACTTTCTTTCAATATCCCTGTTCTCTTGCAGGCAATACTGAGCCTCTGAGTGAGGGAGCCACTTCTCTGTCTGAGTGGCAAGGGAAAGTTCAGAAGTAATCGCCAAGTTATTGATTTGGGAGGTTGCAGAAGAAAAAAGGCAATAGAGCCAGGCAGGTGGGAGGGAGGAGCGTGCAAGGTCCGGAGGAAGGCTTGTTTTTACCAACATGGAGTTGGACCAGAAGAGAGAATCTGACCAGAGGAGGAGGAGGAAAGAGGTCAGGGCTGGAAAGGCGGAGCCTAATCCAATAACCCGGAGTCACAGGGATAGCCTGGGACTGCCCCGTGTTTCTCCAGGAACATACCCCGTTTCTGAGTTACAGAGAGGGAAAGAAGAGCTCTTACAGGCACTGGCTCACCCGCCACATGACTATAAGAGCCAAGAGTCATGTATATTCAGGGGCTCAGGCACTTGGACCAATCTCCACTGCTTTCCCAGGATCATTAGCAAGGAGCTGGATTGGAAGAAGAGCAGCAGGAATTTAAACTGGCTCCCATATGGGATGCTGGCACAGCTGATGGCAGCTTTAACAGCTATATTTCTGTATTTGAACAAAGGCACTCCCTTCTGCTGAGTCACTGCCTAGAAGCCTATAGTGGCCAAGGAGCTGAGGCTGGGAGCCGGTCACTCCACTGAGGTCTCCCATTGGAGAGTGAGCGGCAGGCATGCAGGGGTGGGGGACCTTTTTGCTACCAGGACCCCTTTGGGCATTGATTTGTTGTGTTTTATCATGCCTACCATTGCCTTGACATCAGCAGGAAGGTAGAATTGGGCTGGGGTAAGGACTTGAACTCGGGCAGTTCAGTATAGGATGTAAGCAGGCATCTGCCATGTCCCCCAGATGCCACAGTTTGAGTGTATATGAAAAGACCCCAGGAAGGAAGAGCATGAAGTAAGGGGGAAATGACCAAGTCCCAGAGAGCAGACAAAGAATGGCTACCGTCAGAGCATTCTTGTCCACTCCCTGCTGCTGGCAGAAGCCTGTTCTTGCTTGATACTGACCCTTAACACCAACCAGAGAGATGAGTGCATGGTCCGTGTGATTAACACACATTGAATCTTTCCCTGAGAAGTCACGGCTTAGGTGAAAATGATTGCCATGGACTTGGTCCCATATTAAAGAGTGCCCAGCCCTCTGCACCCCAGCACCCAAGGACAAGTTGGTAAGGGAAGTGGGGATCCAGACTGTGGCTGCCCTGCAGACACCCCATCTCATGCCTTGCAGCTGTGCACACACTTGCCGAGATCAGATCTGAAGATGAACTGAACCAGCTCTTCCCCCAGGCCATCTTCCCCCTGCGTCCCGAGGGTGGCGACACGCTGGCAGGCTCCATGGAGCAGCTCAAGAAGGGCCTCGAAAGTGGCACGGTGCTGATCCAGTTTGAGGTGAGTGACTCTGAGAGTCAGGCATCTGCCTGCCCACACCAGCCTGCACTGAGGTGCCTAGGGCAGACACGACCCTCCTCTGTGGCACTGACAGATGTGTGTGTCACTGACCCATGCTGCTGCAAGGAACCCCTGGAGGACCTGTACTCCTTGCAGTGTAACAGGCAGCCCAGCAGGTGGCCACTCCTCTGGCCCAGAGCATCCACACAGTAAGAAGGCCTTGGGTCTTGCAAGCTGGGGCAGGGCCCTCCACCCACCACTGAACTCTGTGTCACCCTGTTTCTGTAGTGCATTTGGTAGTCATGGAGAGACGCATCAGAAACCCAAGAAGGAGGGCCCAGGAGCAGAGTGAGCTGCCAACACAAAAGCTAGGAGCAGAGGAAGGCGGGGGAGAGGAGGTGTGGGAGCCAGGCAGGGCCGGGTCAGGCCTGGGGCTCTGGTCTCACGGGTCTCACTGGGAACAGGTTGTTCCCAGCATGTTGCCCGCTTCTAAGTGTCCCAGAACCCTGTCCACTGACATGAAACCCCAGCTTTCCCAGAAGGCCCTGGAGTCCCTTCATGGAGCTTGACCAAAGGCCCACCCAAAGCCAGATCCACTCCCACGTCTGTGTGACAAAGCAGAGTCACAATATGCTGGGTTCCCCTCCAGACTGACTCACAGGTGGAAGAAAGCCGGAGTGCTTTCGTGCATTAGAAGGTAGAAAAACATCTCAGATGAGCACAAAACAGGCAAGAGAAAACAGAATGTGCAGGAATGTGCATGACGGAAGAGGCTCAGACAGGATTCAAAAACAGAGTCTGGAGCACGCCACCGTTTGTTTGTGAGAAGACCGAACACAGAGGAGAGCTGGGCACTGAACCCAGCGGTGTGTTATGTGAGCATGAACCACTGGGTGGATCTGAGGCACATGAACGACATGCATATACAGCTAAAGGAAAGTCAAGGCAGAAAGTGTGGCGTGAAAGGAGAGCTTATTCCAGGAGTGTTCCCCAGCCTGGGCGGTGTGCACTGAATGGTGGGAGAGAGCAGAGAGCAAAAGCCCGCAGGAGACCAAGTACCTGCCCCCCGCACAATCGGGGCACAGTGGCTGAGGCTGAGCTGATCTGAAGCTAGGAGCCAGGAGTCCCCTTGGGGACCCATGTGGGTCCATCCTCCACTGCTTTCTCAGGCCACAAGCAGGGAGCTGGATCAGAAGTGGAGTAGTGGGGCACGAACTGGTTACCCAAATGGAATGCTGGTGATTGAAGGCAGAGGATTAACCAATTGAACTGTTGCAATAGCCCCAGTATTTTTCAGTATTCTGTGAGATATTTTAAAGGAAGAACTGAGAGAAAAATGTACTAGTTTTATTCATCTTTTGGGAATTATTTAGGGGGAAAGGCACTGTGGGGTCATTCATTCCTTCAGCAGGTGTGTCCTAGGACTTCATCATATGCCTAGTGCTGAATCTGAAACAGGAGGGAAGAGGGGTCTTCCGGCCCCAGGCAATGTGCAGTCTAATTTTGGCACTTTGGGACAGGGGGCACACATCCTACTGAAGAGCAAGAGAGGCCAAGTGTTCATGGTGCAGAATGAGGAGCTCCAGGAAAGGTTCTGAACTGAGACACAGGATGAATGAGGGGTCAGTGGGTTTAAGTGTGGAATCAAGGCCTGTCCAGGAGCCCACAGGGTGTAAGGACTCAGAGTCCGTTTCTGGATACTGTCCAGGAGCCCACAGGGTGTAAGGACCCGGAGTTCATTTCTGAGTGTTGTCTAGGAGTCCAAGGACCCAGAATGGTCTCCAGGTCCTTCAACCCAGTGAGATTGGTTTGTGGTCGGTCCAGTTGCCCACAAGGAGGCACTGTGGGCCCTCACTGACAGAAGCGCCAAGACTGCGCTCAAGCCATACCCCCACTGCCTCTGGCCCTGACAGGGCACAGCTTTTCCCCCTCACTACCTCACTGAGGAATCCTGATGTCATAGGAACAGCCTTGCTGCACAGGAGGAGCAGTGTCCCCTATGGCTGCCTAGGCAGAGGGACAGCACTGAGAAAGGGAAGCTTAGATGAGTACCAACTATGCCCACGGCACTGGCTTGCGTCCTAGTCCAGCCCTGGGCAGACACTATCAAGGTGAGAGTACCAGGTCTCAGATGGAGTGGCTCGCCCGGGGCTCCCCAGTAAACAGCAGAGCTTGCTGGGAACCCTCATTGCGACCTAGGGAAGCTGCTGACGCCTGTTGATCATGAGGGTTGTGGCTGCAGAGTGTAAGATAGGGGGTCAGTGATATGGGGGGGGGGGTGGCCGAGCTGCACAGAGCCAGATGTTTGCCCCAGCCCATCCCTGCACCTCCATCCTGTATGTCTCCATCTGTAACTTGGGTGTCTACCAGGTACACTGTCAGGAGCAGGTGAGATCAATATTGAATGTGTTGTCTGCCACGTGAGAACTTCCTTTTAGTAATAGCTCTTGTGACTTTCAAATAGAGGCTCCAAGAGCCTGAGAAAACAAGCCCATCTCCACATAGATGGTCTCATCACCTTGGCTACAGATTCTAGGCCCTTCAGTTGTCCCCTGCCCTTCCAGGGCCAGCAGCCATGGCAGCAGGTCAGCATCAGGGCTGACAGAAGGGAGGTGTAACTGTGGACAGCAGGCCCACAGCAGGGGGTGCAGCCAGGCTGCAGGCTGCTCCCCCTCCTGCAGTGGAACCCTGGCTTCCTACAGACTTGCTAGGAAGTGTTGTTCTCATTAAAGGAATTCCCTCTTCCCTCCCTCCCCTGGCTTTCAGTAAACAACTGCCAATGTATTCCAGAAAGCATTTGGTCCCGGCCCGTAATAAAATCACGCTTAATAATGAGCATTGCTAGAGCATGTTGCAATCTACCAAGTTTGTTCCACATGTGTTGCCTTGGAGACGCTCTCAACAGCTCTATGAAGAAGATATGTTCAGCATAACTAAGGTTGTTCTTTTTATTTTCATTTCTTTAAAAGATTTGTTTTTCTGAAAGGCAGAGTTAGAAAGAGAGAGGAGATAGAGATCTCCCATGTGCTGGTTCACTCACCGAAATGACAGCAGTGCAGCCAGGGCTGGGCCAGGCCGGAGCCGGAAGCCAAGAGCTTCATGCAGGTCTGTCATGCAGAAGCTCGAGCACTTGAGCTTTCTTCCACTGTTTCCCTGGTGGCGTTAGCAGGGAGCCAATTCAGAAGTGGAGCACCTGGACTTAAACCAGTGCCCATGTGGGATGCCGGTGTTACCAGCAGTGGCTTAACGTGCTGTGCCACAACACTGGACCCCAGAATCATCCTTTGAGAGGTGGAGAAGGTGAGGCTTGTCCAGTGTGACACTGCTTTCCAGAGACAGCTAGGATTGGAGTCTGCACTGCAGATGACAAGCCTGTCCACTGTAGCAGCTCCGCCTCCAGCACCGTGCTGTGTAAGGGATTCCAGCGTGGCTGGCTTGGCAGCGTTTGTAAATGGCCCCAGACTACCTAGATGCCTTTGTTGAGCCAGGGTCAGGTGTTCTCTCTTGTTGTTTGTAAAGGAGCATGCTAGGTTCACCCTGGCTCCCAGTCTGTCCGTCCCAGGAGTCACCTGGGGCTCTGTTCCAGCGAGGCAGGGGACCTGTGTTCGGTATAGACTTGCCAGGATAATGCCTGAGTGATGAAGCCTTACAAACAAGAAACCAACCGTCTCCATTCTTTTTTTTTTTTTTAATATTTATTCATTTTCATTGGAAAGTCAGATATACAGAGAGGAGAGACAGAGAGAAAGATCTTCCATCCACTCATTCACTCCCCACATGGCCATAACGGCCAAACTAAACCACTCTGAAGCCAGGAGTCAGGAGCTTTTTCTGGCTCTCCCACCAGGTATAGGATCCCAAGGTTTTGGACCGTCCTCAATGGCTTTCTCAGGCCACAAGCAGGGAACTGAATGGGAAGCCCCACTTCCCATCCAGCTCCCTGTCTCTTCTTACCCAGTGCCCAGTGGCTTGCCGCTTGCCCCGCCCTCTGGCCCCCCATTAGTTACAACCTCTTTGGAGACTTGGGGAATTCAGCTGACAGCAGATACCACTCTAAGGCACACTGCACTCCCTCAATTGACAGACAGGGGGCAGCAGCCACAGGGGCCCACAGAAGGCCATGCCGTATCTCCACCTGTCCGTTTCCTCACCATCCACATTTACCAAAACAGAAGCCCTCTCCTCCTTTCTGATGACCGTTTTCCCTTGACTCACTGCAGCTGTGCCCATCATGGGAAATAACCAGCAGCGTCCAAACAGGTGACTCACTGGCCCGTGTGACAGCTGTAAAAGTTGCAATGAGAAGGCCAAAGGTGGCTGAAATCTTGATAAGAGGGTTTCAGTTGACGTGTAGAAATTCACCCAGTGGTTATGACTTCATGTTAGAACCCCTCCCTAAATACAGAATGCATATAAAAATAGCTTTCCAGGGAATCGATATAATATGTCTGGACCACATGGTGGGGACTAGGGACCATGGATGACCATGTATGCCAGTCTGTATTGCACACACCAGGAGCCCCCTTAGAGGAGATATTTCTGCAAGCTGGTGAAACTGTCTCAGTGTCCCAGGAACAGGATGCACTTCTAGGCTGTACCCTGCAGACAGCACAGCCGTACAGAAGGGCCCCGTTACCAGCAAGCACTTCACAGCACAGCTTGATGGGAAGGCACAGAGAGACTCCAGATCTGCTTCTGAGGGTCTCTGTCCCTCCGGTTGGGCAAGAAAGAAAGGGACTGTCCCCAGTAAGAATGAACCAGGCACAGAGAACTGTTGGTTCGTCACCCAAGCCGGAGGGGGCAAGCCACCTCTCAGGGCTCTCTGAGTCGCCCTCAGCCTGGTTAAGAGCCCTACCCTGCTCTGTTTGCGTGTCCTGCACCCTTTGTTTAACCACAGACCCCACCATTGCTTCTCACTACAAATGGTTCTTGCACACCTGCTAGGTGCCAGGCCAAGGGCTGACCAGTTAACGCCACCAGCACAATCCCTGCCTCAATGAAGAGGGTGGCCCGGGGACTGGGACTGGAAGCTGATAGTCACAGAGGTATTGAAAGTCACTGGCTTTGAAGAGGATGCTGGGTTCCCAGAGACCCTGAGAGGGACTCTTTATGCCGTCTGCTCTGTGCTTCACACTGTCGCCTCCGCTTCCATTCCCCTCCTATCCTGCCCTTTCTCTTCCTCTCTGCCTTTCCCTGGGTCCTTAGGCAGGAAATGGGGTGCGAGGAGGAATCTCACAACTGTGCAGACAGTTGAGGCAGGCTTCCTCTGCTCTGCTGGGCCTTGCCGGCTCTCTCTGGTTGGAGCCCACCGGTGTCTGAAGCCCGCATCTGTGACACCGGGACTGCACTTCTTTTGGCTCTGGCTGGGTGAGAAGAGTGAGAGGGCCCCGGTCCTTTCTCGCTGCCCCTCTCTGCTGGTAGACCACTGTGCAAAGACAAAAACATCTACTTGGAAAACCATCCATTGCTCCATCCCTCTCTGGTGACACCAACATTCATTTACATACAGTTGTTCCTTAGCAACCCCTCTCAGCCAACTTCATAATTCACCCGCCGGTGCAGAGGTTGCTAGAATGATGCTCCGGTTGGATGAGGATGTGGAAGTTCATTCTCCAAAGAACTCAGTGGCTTTGCTATCCTCACCACTGCGACCCTGTGACCCTGCCTCCCAACTGCGGGGTTGCTCCCATTGTAGGACAGAATCAGAAAATCTGGCAGTTCTTTGCCTCACATACCATCCACGCAGAACTACCGCAAGCAAACCCCGTAATTCCACAAAATCATTTTTAAAAACCTTGAGTCCAGTTCCAACTGATAACATCCGATCAGAACTCATTCCCATGCATCCATGACCCCTCTAGAAAGTCATACCCAGGTTCTCGACAGGAGTCTCTGTTCCTGGCATGTACCCATGTTTCTGGCATGTGTCACTGTTCCCAACACACACCTGTGTTTCTGGTGTCTCTGCACTCTGGATCTGCCCCTCTTGGGAGCAGTTTTCATGCCGAGCCCACCAGGCAGCCGGCAAAGCAGGTCGGTCAGCTCATTCAGTAACCAGCTCTGGACATGTGGGTCCTCTTTCCCTGGACTGTTTTTGGTGTTAGCCTTTGCACTCGTGGGTATAGGGGCTGTGCACCTGCCAAAGGCCAAAGAAATGTTCACTTCGGCTTGCTCACCCAGCTTGTCAGAATTTTCTGATTAGGCTACTTTTGTTGTATTTCTCTTTTCTTCTTTTACCGTTTCAATGTAAAAGATAATCTCCTTTTTGCCATGATTTGCAGACAGCGGTTTGGGGTGTGCCCCATGCTCACACAGGTGTGTTGTGTGCTCACACGGGTTCACACACAACTGCACACACAGGATTGTGAGTGCTTACAGCAGGATAATTTTCACAAAGGAGGGTATGTCAAGAAGTGCATGGGAAAAACAAAGTTCAAAGATAAATTTTGAGGGACATAAAAACCTTAAAATCCATCAAGTTTTTTCATACGATACATTTTCCACTAACATGGAAGGCCTTTGTAAAATTTAATAGCTTAACTTTATACACTAAAAATTTGGTGAATGGAATCCTTAAAGTCCACCCTTTTTATTATTTCCGGAATTGTAGGCCAAAACTCGGCCACAATTAAATTACTGCTTCTTACGGGGGTAGCTGCAAGCGTGTGCTGTGTTGCAATGTTCTGCATGCAAGCATTTTCCCGCAGATACGCTTCTTTGATATGTATCTCTGTATTTTTCTGTCGGGATAAAGGCCACACTGTGCACATGTAAAAATGTTGAAACATTGCCCTGGTACTTGATTTTTCTAATTTATTTCACTACTCTGCAATCCCATCCACAGATCATTACTGCTGAGACAGATTTAAAAACTTGTGGTAATTAAAGCCTTCTGCTAGATCTCTCTATATATTTGTGCTAGGCCATCTCAAGTTGATTGCATTTACATTTTTGCTATTTTTTGCAGGGTGGGAGGTGGTCTCCTGTTACCTCCATTTCAGCTTTCTGGGTTATATTCACTTGCGTTTCACCTCCATACAGTTACTCAAACAGAACCGAAGTGCCATGTGGGTCCTTTTGACTGACTCGGGTATCTCCCATCTGTCAGAATCAAACCAAAACCTCTACTGAACCATAAGCCGATTTCCAACTGAGCTCAGAGTCTACTGCTGTTACTGAAGAAGTTAAGTTATTCAGTGGCTGCTTGAGTACTGTGAACTGAAACTATAAGAATGATCAGTAGCTGAGCTCTTGGGTGAGCTAGCTTATAAAGTATTATGGTGTGCAAAAAGTAGTGTTCAAATTTTTTCTGTTTGAATCACAAACTTAAAATGACAGTGTTGACCACAATGTGGGGAACTAGCCATTGCTATATGTCACTGTAGGCCCACATGGAGATATCAAAATCCTGGAAAAGCAAGCCTTGTTGCAGGAATCCTGTACTAAATTCAAGATTTAGAAACTTGAAAATAGCCTGATATAAAAGTAGAGGAAAAGTTAGGCCATAATGAAAGAAATGACTGAGCCATTACACATCATGTATAAAGAATATTGAATGGGAAAACAGGAACTATATAATAATTAGGGGAGCCTGGCTTCCACATTGTGGGAGTGTTTCCCAGAACACTTTGTGTCACATGCTAAGATCTCCCATGGACAAACTTGCTTGAGAAGTGCTATCAGAATTCAATTAATCAGAATTAAGGAGATGTATATACATTGTGGGACTTGGTATATGGGAGATTTCTAGAACTATAAGGTGAGAAGTTCCCAAATTTAAAAAATTATTTATTTACTTGAGAGAGTATCCAGACAACTCCCTTCAGATGCCCGCATCAGCCAAGTCAGGCCAAAGATTGGAACTGGGGACACAGCCTTGGTTCCCCAGCACAGGGCGTGGGAGGTCTTGTAGGGAAGGCCCTTTCCAATCTGTCATCACTGCATTCTAGTTTTTGGCTTAAGAGGAAGCTGGAATTTTGAGTCTTGACTCAAGGCACTGTTGATGTGGTATGCATGTGTTCTAAGTGGCTTTTTGACCCCCTCATCTCATCTCCCCCAAATTTCTTTGAGGAACGTTGGGTTCCAGTGAACATAGCATAGGATGTGCCAACACGTAGTTCAGTGTCATTTTTTTATGTGCAGAAAAAAATAAGATGCAGAAGGGATATGAAAAGATTATCTCAGGAATGCAAAATTACTAATCATCTTCCTTATACTAGCCTGAATTTCTACCAGAGTGTGTACACCTACACACACACACACACAACATTGCAAACAGCAGGGCAGGGGAGAAGAAGAAGAAAAGCTGTATTTTTAAATTGCCAGGAAGCTAACGTAAGCCTTGATGAGGAGAGCTTTTCTGTGTTGTTAGAAGTAGGTGGTGCAGTTGTAGAGAGAGGAAAAGGCAGGCGTTGGAGACAGATTGAGATCAGCGCCTCACTGGTGATTTTGAGCAAAGGTAGTTGAACCGCCAGCTCTAAGCTGCAGCATCACAACACTGTTAGCACGGGGATGCCATCAAGCCCTGCCAGGTCCTGCACCCACATGGCTCACACGCGTCTGGATATGCAGGGGTTCTTCCACGCGAGGTTCTGGATAGTGACTGTGTGTATAGGGAACACCTTCTGGAAGCCTTCAGTGTTTGGGGATCGATGTTCTTACTGGGGAACTGTTCAGAAATGTTGAATGAAATGCTCCAGCTCTTAAAGCAAAAATTGTGGTCCACTCCATTCAGTGGGAAAGAAAGCGTTCGAGAGTAATTAAAATGATTTCCATTTCATTTTGAGTCAAAAAAAATTTTTTTTTTTTTGCTTTCAGCATATGTCAAACTATCATAAAAATAAAGCTTTATGTGATTCAGGCTCATTCCTGTGACTTTCTTCTCTCCCCCATCCCCACTAAAAGTTAAAAAAAAAAAGAATTAGAGCAATTAATTGCTTTCTAATGGAATGATAAGCATCTCCTATTGGGGAAGATTTTCTTTTAATAAGTAGCGTGTGATCACTTTACAACATTAAGGTTATAGGGACTTAGGGGGTAGACTTGATGGTTAGAGGTACACTTCAGCTTCTGCGCTGGTTCTGACAGCAACTGTTAACTTCTTTGTTTCACACAGCAACTCTACCGGAAGAAGCCAGGTTTGGCCATCACGTGTGCAAAGTTGCCTGCAAATGTGGACAAAAACCGATACAAAGATGTGCTGCCTTGTGAGTAACCAGCCAGACTGTCTGGTCCTCTGGAACTGCCCCCCCAGTGTATCTGTAAGCACCCCCGCCTGCGTCGCAGCCGCTGCACGTTCTGAGCAGTTGGGCAACTCGTGCTTATGCTAATGAGGCAGGAGCCGCAGATGGGGCTGGGAACCAAACTCTGGTTGACTTGGCTTAATAAAAATAACACCCAGAATCGTGGGGGAAATTTTCTCTCTATTTTTCTCTCTCCCGCAGATGATGCCACCCGGGTATTGTTGCAAGGGAATGAAGACTATATCAATGCCAGCTATGTGAATGTGAGTTGGGATCTGGGTGATGAGAAGGCACATTCAATGTGGTGGCAAGCATGACAGGAGCTTGCTTGTGGACTGGCTTGCAGCTGACAGAGCTTTCCTGGGCACTGCCACCTTTCAGCACAACTACTATGCGAGGGCAGGGAAAGTCTTGTCTCACCAAGGTGGAAGCCCAGCGTTAGAGATATCACTAGAGCAGGCCAAAGCCAACAGCCACCTCCCAGGATTCACATTAGCAGGAAGCTGGCCTTGAACCCAAGCACTCCAGGTTGGGATGCAAGTGTCATAATTAACAAGCCAAGTGCCCTCCCCATACTCTGTGTTTTTAATCCCATCGACCCTGGTGCTTCTCTGCTGGACTGCTGGTGTTCGGGCATTTGTTTTTGCTGTGCTTCCTGTATTAAGTGATATCACCCTGCCTCAAGATAGGAGAAGTCAAATCTCCACTTACCCGTAAAAAGGGAAGCATAGCTTGGAGATGCTATTGTGGCATAATGCATTAAATCGTCACCCATGACTCCGTAATTCTGCATGAGCACTGATGCGAGTCCCACATCTGGTCCAGCTCCCTATTGGTGCATCTGGGAAGGCATCAGAACATGGCCCAAGTGCTTACACGGAGGACCCAGGCTGAGTTCCAGGCTCCTCGCCTTGGCCTCGTCTATCCCTGGTTCCTGTGGCCCTTTCAGGAGTGAACCAGTAGATGGAGGAGTCTCACCTCCCTCTCTCTCTGTCCCTTCCTCTCTCCCTCCTCCTCTTTTTTCCCTTTCTCTATCACTCCCTCCCTCTCCTCTCCCTCTCCTTTGCTCTCTCCCTCTCTCTGTAATTCTGCTTTGAAAATAAATGAATATATGTATTTTTAAATCCAGCATAGAGAAGACTTGGGATTAAGGGTCAGTGTATATTGTTGAGTGTGTGGAAATACCTAATATTGTTTATATTTAGGGCAGAGCAGTAGAAACATTAAAGTTCTTCTATGATTTTACAGGTTTATTTCTGGGTTTTGCCTACTTGGTATCATGCAGTTTTATCACAAAGATCTAATGCTAACATTACAAGGCTCTATAGAAGTAATTTTTTCTTTGATTTTTTTTTTTTTTTTAGAATTAATAGCCTATGAGCTGATAGAGTTTTTGGTGTGATGGTTAAGTAAGAGTTTAGAAGCCACTTCCCTGCCAACCTTGGGGCTGTAACAGACTCTCATGACTTTCTGATTTCTTACCAGATGGAAATTCCCAGTGCTAACCTTGTGAACAAGTACATTGCTGCCCAGGGACCCCTGCCACATACCTGTGCACACTTCTGGCAGGTGGTCTGGGATCAGAAGCTGTCACTCATCGTCATGTTGACGACACTCACAGAGCGAGGGCGGGTAAGTGGTTCAGTTTCCAATTAAGGTGTGCACAGTGTCACGCTCTGCCACGTGATACAAGCCTTGGGGGCTAGCAAAGATCTTCATTGTCTCTGGGTCCAACCTGCTTGTCATTTGTCAGTCTCGTGTGGAGCTGCCCATGGACTCCCCCAGTGCCGAGAAGCTCAGCACTCCAACCTGCTCCTGGGGGGAGGATCCATTGTAGCAAACAGGAAGGCAGTGCCTTTCCTGCCACTCAGCTCACCTGGCGCAGAACCCACTGCCTGGACTGTGGCCTCACACACCCAGTGCAAGTACTGGTCCTCAAAGAGCAGTATGTATACCAGGCTCATCCTAGCCACAAGGAGGAGGAGAAGTTACATCACTCTATTGTTTTCCATAGAAACACATCACTAACTCTGTAACAATAAATATGCAGGAGATGCCTAAATCGTCAGTTTCCTGCCTTCTGGAAGCATCTGGATATGTTCATTGAAAAACACGTTCCAATATCAAATACGCATTAACCTTGAACGGTCTGCTTTGCACCGTATGTGTGCTGCTTCTGCCAGAACCCCTAGCTCAGTGCGTAGATCAGTGTGCCAGATGTATGCTTCTTGAAAGTCAGAACACACAGGACTAAAATAGATAGGATGTTTGAGATCAGCACATCCTCTCACTGCAATCAATAAAATAAAAATCCTATTAATTGTATAGACCTCATTGGTGGCAATAAGCTTTATTCTTTGTTTTTCATATTTATCTATTTGACAGGAAAGTGACAGGAATGAAAGAGGAAAAGGAGGAGGAAAGAGAGATCTTGCCTTTGCTAGTTCATTGTCCAATGACTGGGCAAAAGCCAAGAGCCAGGAACTCCACCTTGGTGTCCCACATGGGTAGGAGGGAACCAAGTAGTTGGCCACCTTCTGCTGTTTTCCGTGGTGTATTAGCAGGATGCTGCAGCAGAAGTAGCCCAGCTAGAACTCCAATATGGGTTGCCGTTGTCACAAGCGGTGGCTTAGCGCACTGTGCTGTAACACTGTCACCTGAAAAAGAGCTTTTAAGTGCCTTGTCCCAAATGGATACTCCTACTCCTGCTGAGACATTTCCAGGATCATCCTAAGAGTGCTCAGCTCTAGTTTCTTTAAGGTTTATTTTATTTATGTGAAAGACAGGGTTAGAGAGAAGAGAGGGAAAAGACAGAGAAATCAAGAGAGGGGTCTTTCATCTACTGCTGGTCTACTCTAAATGACCACCATGGTTAGGGCTGGGCCAGACCAAACCCAGGAGTTCTTCCCACATGGGTACAGGGACCCAAACACTTGAATTATCTTCCACTGCTTTTTTTCAGGTCATTTTGCAGGGACTTTGGGTGGAACAGCCAGGACTCTCACAGGAGCCCATATGGCATACCGGTATTTCGTGTAACATCTCTACTAGCTACACCCTGACTACAGTCTCCAGCAGCTCTAATTCTTAAGAAAGTCCTCCTCGCAGTGAGCTAAAATGGGTGCTGCATTGAACCTTTGCCTCACTCAGTTCTGCTGCACAGAAGACAGAAAATAAGCTACTCTCTTTTCCATGCAATGATCCTTGAGTCTTCTAAAGATACCCTTCCTTCCATTAGGCTACAGTCAGCAGACACCACGTGTTCTTTGTCTTGGTGTTGTCCCCAGTTTGTACTCACACCCTTGACTCTTGGAGCCTCCAAACAGCCAGATTATGTGGGCTCAAAATACAGTTTCTTTTGAGCAAGTTGCTTTAACCTCTCTGACCTGGCCAGCATGTGAAGTGGAGATAGTGAAGGGGCCGACCTTGGAGGGTTTGTGAGGACTGGGAGGCTACCTATCAAAAGCTTAAACAACTGCGCCCTGCCAAAGTCCAACAAACACCAGTTGGAGTTTTGCATCATCTTCATGCCTGAGTAAATGCAGATCTGGCCATCGAGAGCTTGGAGGGCAGTCCGGCTTCCTTGTTTGTGTGGTCATCACTCCTGGTGGCTTGTCACATGCCGATTTCATCAGCATCCCTTGTCCTCACATGAATGACTGATGAAAGGTTTAAGTCCTCAGGAAGCAAGAAGAGCCTCCTTCAAGGATGGCAGTGGTCAGGGGCACTAAGGGCAGCTGGGCAGCACTCATTTGTCCCTACCATTCCACTCATCCCTGCTTTTTCTCTGGTTGCACAGTCAGTCACCCCGAGTGACTGTCACAGGCTGGACTGGAATCTCCACACAGAAGAGCTCTTTCTGGAAGCCCTTCTAATTCTATGAGAGGAGAGAGAGAGAGAGAGAGTGTGTGTCAGTGTGTGTGTGTGTGTCAGTGTGTGTGTGTGTGTCAGTGTGTGTGTGTGTGTGTCAGTGTGTGTGAGTCAGTGTGTTTTTTGTTTTGTTTTTCTTTCTAAATTTGCTTTAAATGGGAAATGAAGTTCCTTGGACCCTTTTTGGGAAACTCCAGTCATCTCCCAATACTGACCTCTTCATTTTTCCAAAGTACTTGGGGAAGAAGGCAGACTCCCAAGCTGTATTTCCTGAGTCCAGATCCTACCATGTGCCTCCCTGTTTCAAATGCAGTAATGGTAGCATCCATCTCGTGGGGTTGGGGGAAATGAATGAGTTAACACAATAGCCTTCTTGGAAGAGTGCTTAGCACACAAATGTTCTCGATAAATGTTAGCTTGTACTACTAATCATGTTGACTTGGGTATCACCAAAATCATGATTACCAGGTCTGTACTATTGTTTTAGTCTAGTATTCATCAGTCTTTTATTTAAATCGAGTCTTTTTTTTTTTTTTTTTGCTTTAATGAATTACCTTTGAAATGAGTTTTCTAAATGGAATTCACTATATCATCACATAAACAGCAGGTGTGTGAGTCAGCTCACTTTAACTGAAATATCTGGAGTTCCTCCCTAAGAGAGGTTTCTTTCAGCTTACACTTGTGGAGGTTCACAAGCTAAGTTAAGGCTGGAGAAGAACCTGCAGATGACCATATGGGAGTCCAGGAGCACACTGGGCTCAGAATCAACTCTTGGGGGAACTCAGCAGGCCCGCTTCCCTGAAACCTTGATTAGACCAAGTAGACTAAGAGTTTGGGGCCTGGCCAATTCTGGGGGTACAAATCTTCTTTCAAGCCATAACAGGGAGTATGTATGGAAACAAGTACCACAGAGCAAGGTCATTAACTCTTGAATATACTTCCTTGCCATCCAGGCTGGGAACCCGAGGCCACCTGACACAGTAAAGTCAAGGAAATAGCACTCCAACTGTGGAAGGCCTCCATGGATGCCCTCTTTGCATGTACAGTCAGCTACAATGCAGGAAAAACACTTCACTTTCCCCCCACGGGGTTCTGTGGCTTGAAAAGCAGACCCCATCCTCTCCCAAGGCACCCCCATGCCTGGCCTTCTACTCTGCAGGCCCTGGTTTGTGTGCCTAGCAAGTCTGCCACCCTGTCATTCCTCCACTTTGAGAACTGTCCTCTCATCACCTTCCTGTGGTCCCTTACTCCATTACTGCTGGTGACCTGAAGCTGTGGGGACAGTTCCGGAGGTGCCACCCTGCTATCTGCAAAGGGCTTTCAGTTCACCATGCAGTGGCTCTGAGCCGATACAGCCACACCCTCCTGTCCCCATCAGGCTGCTCTTTGTCTTGAAGCAGCATGCTCCTCCTCCCTGTCCAACTGGAAGGCTCTTAGACCCCACAGGAACGCTGCATTGTCTTATGGCTGGCACCAGAGAATCTCCCCAGGATCACAGCCCCCATCATTGCCTTGCCTGACTGTCCCAGCTCTGGAGAAAAAGTCCCCCTTCTTCCATATCCCCCCACCTGCTCTCACAGGTGCTACCACTGCTCATGGCCCCTGCTCTCTATATGGGTCTCTGCTGTGAACCTGAGCTCATCTGAGGTCTCCGTGTGACTGGGAGGCGGGTGGTTCTTTGTTTCCCAGCCCTTTCTTCCCAGCTGGATTTCTTCCAGCCACTTCCATCAGTTTCCTGTACAGCAGATTCCCATCTCCCATGAGGCCTGGCATTGTCTTCATCATCTCTGGCCCTGGGAACTGAGGTCCCTTGTTTATCCGGTGTTAAAAACCTGTTCTTCCGACATCCAGGGTGTGTGTCGCTGCCACTCCAATTGCAGACTCTCGGATGACCTGAAGTCTCTTGTGTCCTCATCACCACCCACCATTTCTTCCGGATCGGGCAGCGTCTCTGCAGGCCAGCTGCTTTGCTCGTTTTTCCTTCTTTCATTCTTGTTCTTTTCTTTTTTTTTTTTTTTCTTTGAGAAGCATACAGAACAGAGATTTCTCAGCCACAGATTTGACTGCCTACAACAGGGGCCTGGGCCAGGCTGGGTCAGGCTGGAGTTACAGCCTAGAGTGCACATATGGGTGGCAAACAGTTCATTTGAACCACCACTTGCTGTCTCCCAGGGTGCACATGAACAGGAAGCTGAGATCAGGAGCAAATCAAACCCACACCCAGGCACCCCCAATAAAGCAAGAGAGTTTTTCACCTGGCATCTTTAGCTGTAGGCCACACAGCTCTGCCCCCCACACCTTTTTTGTCAGGAGATGGACTTTTCAGTATGTGCTGTAGTATGGCACTTCCAGTGGGCATGTGGCACTGGGCCACACGTGAGTCTATGAGCACAAACCTCAGAAGCCCTGTATAGCACAGGGTCAGTAGCACTATCCCCCTGCGAGAGTGCTTGATTTTGTCCTTATCTGTTCCTGTCTCAAATGTTTTTCATTATGCTGTGCCCTGGGGCCCATACCTAGAGTATGGCAGACAGCGGGGGACATGGCAGCTCAGCAGGTTCAACTGCTGCCTGGGACACCCAGATCCTGGAGTGCCTGGGCCACATCCCAGATATGCTTCTGGAACACCTTCCTGGGAGGCAGCAGATGATGGCCCTTGAACTTGGGTTCCTGCCACCTGCGTGGGACACCTGGAAGCAGTTTGTAGTTCCTGACAGCTTGGGCCTGACCTAGCCATGGCTGTCACAATGAAATCACTGTGAGTGAAATCAGCAGGGACAAATGAATGAATGACCTGTCTCTCCCTTTCTCTCTCTCTCTCTTTCTCTTGCACTGACTTCCAGAGACAGAAGGAAGTAGTGAGTGAGTAGTAGATAGGCTGGGTAGGATAGATCTTAGAAGGGAAATGTCCCCCTGCCTTTCCTACCATGAGAGCTGTCTCTTATCTATATATGAACAACATGGACATTCCTGCTTCTCAGCCCGCTAGTCATCTAAGGCATGGGCTGAGACTTGGGCTCGTAAAAGGCATTGGGATTCTACGACCATGGCGTTTACCTGTTTGATCTTGGTCAGGACTCCAGGCCTCCATTTACTCCTCATTGGAAAGGTGGTGGCAAGGCCTGTATCTTGGGGTTGTGGAGGATTAGGAGCAAAGCACTCTGGATGTGGTGCCTTGTTCCACAGCGCATGTTCCCTGTGGGGTTGTGATTGCATGGGCCCCCTCGTCCCACTGGTCCAGAAGCAGACAGGCAGGTTTGCTGCTCTGTGCCTTGGCCATGAGAATCTGTGAGGGATAGGAAGAGGCGTGGGCAGCATGACGCTCTCATGGCTCCCTGATGGGTGGCATGTATGAGAGGTACCGTGCTGGGATCAGGTCACACACTGTGCTCAGAGCCGGGCATACCCGGGTTCTGAGGCTCCCCAGGATCTTTAGCTCTGAGTCAGGTTTCCCTCACCCCTTTGGGTGGTTGAGCAGGCATGGGATCTGGGCACGTCGCCCTCCACCAAGGCAGAGTGATTTGCTCACAGTCCTGGGCTGGCGGGGAGGGGAGAGAGTTGCTGCGCTAGAGTTATGTCTGGCACCCAGCTGTGTGCTTCTTCACCTACGGTGGCCTGAGGCAGGTGGGGCTGGGGGAGCAGACCTGGTAAGGGAAGTTGAGGCAGAGACTGCTCATGGGCCAGGCCCTTCCCAAGTCCCTCCTATGCCTCTAGGCAGCAGATGCAGCCCAGGGGTGCCTGCAGAGCCACAGGCTGACTATATCCACTCTCCTGAGGAAGAAGGGGGGTCTTCTGCCTCCAACTTGGTATATGTGCAGACAGACAGACTCTCCTGGGTCTCTCCTCCCAGCAGCAATCACGGTAGCCGGGCATGTGCCAGAGAATTCTGGTTGGACACCCAGTTGGCCAATCTCCCTGGCCACAACCAGGTGCTCACATGCCCCTTCCCCAGGGAGACTAACACACCCTCGGTTCCCCGCAGACCAAATGTCACCAGTACTGGCCTGACCCCCCCGACGTCGTGGATCATGGAATCTTCCACATCCAGTGTCAGTCAGAGGACTGCACCATTGCCTACGTTTCCCGAGAAATGCTGGTCACGAACACAGAGGTGAGCTGCGGAGTGGTGGGGTAGGCAGGTGCATGTTGCATGGAAGAGGCCAACCACAAAAGGACCAACACTGTGAGCGTGCTCAGCCATGAAGCATCACATCCGATGGGCGTGAAATAGGATGATGCCGATAGGATGTCCAGGGCTGGACGGAATGAGGAGCTAAGATAATAATGTGCTGAGTTTATGTTTGGCTGATAAAACTTCCAGATATGGGTATTGATGATGGTTCCACAACATTGTGAATATACTGGATGCCACTGAATTGTTTGTCTTCAAATGGTTAAAATGACCTGGGTTTCACCACAAGGAAATAAAATAAGCTAATGTATGTATGACCCCTGTGGTAACTACTTCAGAAACAAGAAATAGCTGCAGGTAGAAGTGATCTAGAAGGCAGTCCTGGGAGGGGCAGGGGCCACAGTATGCTGTGCCCAGTGGCAAGAAGAGCCCTGGACACAGGGCCATCCTGGCAGGACACCCCTTCACGGAGTACCCCCACATCTTCCATAGACTGGGGAGGAACACACAGTGACACATCTCCAGTATGTCTCCTGGCCTGACCACGGCGTACCCGATGACTCCTCAGATTTCCTGGAATTTGCAAACTACGTGAGGTCCCTGAGAGTGGACGGGGAGCCTGTGTTGGTTCACTGCAGGTATTGGGGCTTGTCTGTTCTGCTTCACTCTTAATACCAGCACCCGCTTGAGAAAAGCTTGGGGAGAACCGGCGGGCCCCGGACCCAACCTCTTCACTGTGTGCTTCCACAGAGCCCTGCTTACCCCTCCCCACTTCAGGGGATGAGCACACTAAGAAGTACAGCTCTGTGAGCATAGCCCGGCACCCGTGTAACAAGTCCCACCCCGTCTGCTAGGTGCCCTGCCACCCGCTGACCTTCACCATGGAGGTGGATGAGAATGGGCATGGGTTTGGCACTTAGCAGTGAGTTGCTCTGCATCATCTGCTGGGAAGCTCCCAGCCTCGGGGCCTATGGGAAAAGCATTTTTGGCCACAGTGAGTGCTTTGTACTCCCAAAGGCCAAGGGAGGGGCACCTCTGAGTCCCCATGGGAAGTGGCTGAGAGATCAGCTGGGCCTTGCTGCCCCAGCCGGTCCCAGGTCTCTGTTTCTGTCTGTTCTGCAGTGCCGGCATAGGTCGGACCGGCGTGTTGGTTACAATGGAAACTGCCATGTGCTTAATTGAGAGAAACCTGCCTGTGTACCCACTGGATATTGTCCGGCAAATGCGAGACCAACGCGCCATGATGGTGCAGACATCTGTGAGTAGCAATCATCATGTGAGAATGACAGGGAGGGCTAGGACTTTCTGAGCTCATGCGCCAGGCCACGCCTGGTCAGAGGGCTCTGGCTAAGGCTCCAGTGGCCTGAGCTACCTGCCCACAGTCTCTCAGCTTCTCAGAGGCTACTCAGGGACCCCCAAACCTACCCCAAATCCACCTGTGTGGTGTGTGCCCTGCCTGACATTCTGTTAGGAGGCAGCTCTGGCTGCATGTCCTGTTGTCCAACTACTGGCCCTGCCACCTGTCTGTCAGAAGTCACAGTCACTAAGATTTCATCCTACCAACTGTACCTAGGGTAACCCTTTCCACTGAGCAAACTCTTCACGCATCTTGCTATCTCCTGCTTGGAGCTCCTTTCCACCTCTCATGCCTGTGTGCTTAGAGGGTCCTCAGAAGGCAGTCGTGGGGCTCCACATTAGAATTGCCAAGGGCCAGGGAGATGTCTTGGAAAGCATCCTACTAAACAACCCTGGGAACGTCTCTTTAACTTCTCCAAGCCTTAATTTCCTCATCTGCAACATGGGGACTGCCCCATTCATTCATGTACTCACCTAGAAGATTAGCAAGAGAGACCCACGTTCGTGCACCCTCAGAGAGCTGGATTGGGCTTTACTAATCTGAGCAGCAGTCGGGAAGCTCAGGGGGCATCCGAGAACACAGCAGACGAGAGTGTGCAGACTTCACAAAGTCAGGAAGGCTTCCTGGAGGAGCAGCCTCTCGGGCAAAACCCCCAGGAGTCAGCAAAGAGACCAGCTGGAATTCTGAGCTCCAGCCAGCCCTGTGTGCCTCACAGGCTTGTAGATAGCATTTATGAGATTTGCCTGATAGATTGTGAGCTCTTGTTGCTTTATATCAATTTATACTGGAAATCTGGTTAAGAAAAAGACTAGTAGGTTAAGTTATGAAGGTTGTTTTCCACCTCTGCCCCTTTCTTTTGTAATGGAAGACTTCCTTGCTGGCCCAACGTCTCAGTAGGTTTTCCTGGCTCTAAAGGCTGTGCCTCAATGAGCTCCACATCCCCTGAGTCAGATCAGAGGCCCCTGAAAGATATCTATAATGAGCATGTGCTAACTTTTGGAGGGGCTTGCTGTTATTCCCTAAACAATCCAGCATAAAACTATCTAACAGCATTTATACTGTTGTTAGCTCCCAAGAATACTGGAGATGATATGACCTGCCCACTCCGACGCCGTGCCCCTCCTTCTCTGCGCGGGCACACCCTGCATCCTCCCGGCATCAGGAGGGCATTCTGGCTGCGTCCCCTCTGCTGGGCTCTCCTGGCTCATGGCCCCACCCCCGTGTCAGAAAGCACTTGCAGAGGACGCAGAGGACTGGGCAGCACGGGTCCTGACTTGGCTTTCTTTTCTCTTCCAGAGCCAGTACAAGTTTGTGTGTGAAGCAATTCTTCGTGTGTATGAAGAAGGCTTGGTTCAAATGCTGGATCCCAGTTAGGAGGACAACTGTGAAGAAAAAAACCAAAACCAAAAACAAAACGCTCATTTCTCTTTCCCAGGGATGACCTCCCCTGGAGGGGGTTTCTGACCCACTCCCTGGAGGCTGCAAGAGGACCCGGGAGCTATGGGAAAGGAATGAGCTCATATAAACCCAGGCACTTTAAATTTCTGTAGAAATGGTATCCTGTACATAGGAACTGGCATAGATCCGCATGCAATTACAGTGTCTTTGAAGGCCAGAGAGAAAGCTGGAAGGGATGTCACTTTGGGGCCCATCCCAACACCTCCCTCCCTGGACATCAGCAGACCCCTGTGAGCCCCCACGGGGCAACTGAGCGAGGCACGAGCAGTGCTTCTGACCTCCCAAAAGCAAGATGGCCCTGCAGGTCAGGTGGCTTGATTTTTGCGCATTTCTGTGTAGAGGACAGCAAGGGCCGAGTTTCCTGTTCTACCGCCATCTGCACCTGCAGTACCCGCTACGCCCCGCCGACTGCACGCATGGAGGGCGTGAGTGTTCCAGCTGATGGAGAGCAATGCCTTCATTGTCCTTCCTCGCTTCATCCCGTCTCCCGACCCCTTCCCATATCTTTGTTCCCGAGAATCATGTCCAAACCCCCGCCTCCCGACCCTGTGTTCTCACCCAGTGCCTGAGCAGGTGAATAGCAGACATTCGGGTGACTCTTCAGCTGAGACTGGGAACCAGGACTCCTGGTTTCGTGGCAGGTCTTAGTGTGAGAAGCAGATGTGTCTCTTGCCTCTGCTGGCCTCTTACTGTGTCCTTCGCACCCGGGACTGGAATCGCTGACTACTGATTCTACTATGTGACATTGCTGCTACTTCAAGCTGTACACTTGAACGTGACGGTTTTCCTGAGGGGAGAGGGGACAATGGCATCTCAATTTTCGGAATCTTTGGCCCTTCTGAGAAAAGAACTTCTTGTCCTTGACCATGGGAAACCCTGCTTCTAGAGGGTTGACCGTGGGTGTGTGTGAATGAGTCTGTGTGCGTGGGTGCATCTGTGTGTCCATCCTGAGTGTTTCTCAGGGCTCCTAACTTGATTCAAATTACCATTGAATTTATATAACGAAAGAATCTGTATAGGAGAACAAAAGCGTGTGGTCACCCTTGGTTACGACGTCTCCATTTCATTTCAAAGGAGAAGAACAGGCTATCTGAATAGAAACACAATTTGATGTTAATTTATTCTAAGAACACCATGACTGATTGTCCTATTTGTGTAATACTGTGTTTCAAAAAAAAAAAAAAAGATTTTTTTTTTTAATTTGTGGCAGGATTATAGCAAATTACTATTTAAGGAAAATAAATTACATAAACATTTTAATGTGGTATCTTTAAATAGCAGTTTCTATGTATTCAGAGGAGGAAGCAAGTGAATTTCTTCATGGTATTTCTGGAACAAGGATACCTTCCTGGTATTATGCATGTGGAAGAAGCCATATTGATAATCTGCAAACTCGGAGTAGTTTCCTAATCAGAAGATGGGAAACTGGGGAAGAGGGAGGACTAGGTTTCCAAAGATGTTTCAGCCTCTAGACTTGAAATACAAGTGTAAGTCCAAAAATTCATGGAAAATGTAATTAAGAGATAAGTTTATTTTGATGCAAAATCCTTTGAAAATCCATGCCTTCAAGGGGTCTGGTTCTTCTTAAAAGAAAGCTATACATGGAATTCAAAGTGGTTTTTTTTTTTCTGCACCAAAATAAATTTACCTTTTATTTCCATTTCCTTACGAGCCTATTTTATGTTTTACTGTTCCCTGTTTGGATGGATATTAATTCACTGTGCCAAGACCTCGTACTGGGAAACAAGAAGCCACAGCACCTGCAAAAGTGTTGGGACCCTACACCCACGTGGGAGACCGGAAGAGGCTCCGGACTCCAGGCTACAGATTGGCACAGCTCCAGCCATTGTGGCTGCTTGGGGAGTCAATCAACAAATGGAAGGTCTTCCTCTCTGTTTCTCCTCCTCCCTGTATATCTGACTTTCCAATAAAAATAAAATAAATCTTTAAAAAAAAAAAGCCACAACAGAGCATGGGGATAAAGTACGAGAACCAACTCCTGATCGCATCCCAGCTCCCAGCCCAGGCACTCCCATCCCCATCTGTGAATCAGGTGTTACAAAGGACACTGGGGCATATTTGGGAATCGCTGGTGCTACTGTGAATTGCTCTGCCCTGGAATCCAGATGGAGACACGATGTGGATAAATTACTTGGAAAAAGAACTCAGTGACTCGCCCCAAACCACAGCAAACACATGTGGAATTCCCTGGGTTATGACAAAGGTGAGCATCCAGGAGAGCACAGCGAGAACAACACAGGGCAAGCCAGGCCAGTCCTTTGGTGCAGTCTGCACCCTGCCCAGAGTTCTCCAAGCAAAGCACCAAAAACCAAGCAAGTGGGGGGGCTGTTGACGTCCACAGACGAGCTGCTAGCATAGTCACCAGTGTTTCCCTTTGATAGGTAGCATTGTCACCCGTGTGCAAAAACCATGAGAAGTCTAAATGCCTTTGGAGAGTGGTGTTTTTAGTATATTGTCTGATGTGCTAGCCACAGCAGTGCTGTTAACAGCCACACCCACTTCTGGAAAGCTTACTGCAGTCTGCACTACTGTGCCTGCTGGCGATTCCAACACAACAAACACTGCCATGAAATCCTGAGAAAGACCAGTCAGACAATGACCTAAGGGAAGAAACCCTACAAGTCAAGACTCTGCATAGTGCCAGTTAAATCTGCACCCCCCACCCCGGGATGCGTGCCTCACAACCCTCTCCACTTAAACAGCACTTCTAGCCGCCTGCGCATCCCACTGGGGGTGGATGTTCTACCAGGGACACAGAGCTTGAAGTGACCAGGGAAGCCCTTGACCACCAGTGTGGTGACGCTGTCTAGGAGATCTGTCACCAGGTACACGGGTAAGTGTGGCTCCTCAGGGAGGCAGCATCTGTGCTGGGGGTTGCTCTAGAACCTTATCTAGGTTGATTTTTCAGAAAAAGAGGCTGCAATCAATTTGGGGAGGAAGGGTGGATCTCCAACTCTGTCATGGTCTTTGGTCTCCTTCCCCAAAGTGTGATCTGTGAAACATGCTGTTAGCTCAACACAGAGGCTATTACTGCTGGTTGACATGGTTCTTAATCCTCAGGAATGATCATTTGAGGCCGAGTAACAAGCTCTATCCGCCAGAGGCCACCAAGAGGCAGCGTCAGTGACAAGAGGTAGGGCTTGGATCTACAATCACATCAGCCTTGCTTTCTCTCACAGGGGAAGTTTGGACTGGGCTAGATGAACTCCAGATTTGTCTTTCTGTAAATCTGGTAACCCAAGGACTCAACAGTCAACTCGTAAGCCAAAGTTGTGTGGCTGCCAGAGAGGAAGGTCACACATTGCTGTAACTTGTCCCTCATACTTGATGCTTGTGGCTGCTAAGGCTGAGATTGCCATCCCTGGTACTTCTCTCTCAGCCTAGGTTGCCAGGGGAACCAAGCAAGTGGGAGACTGGTGGCTGGGCTGTCCTGCCATCTTTATAGCTCACGATCTGGAGCAATCACAGGATTTGAGTTAAGTCATGTTCTCATTGAAAGTTATCTTTTTTTTTTTCTTTTTTTTTTTTTATTGTTGCTTACATTATATTATGTAGTACAGTTTTATAGGCGCTGGGGATCCCCCCCACCCCTCCCATACCCCTCCCCCCATGGTGGATTCCTCCACCTTGTTGCATAACCATAGTTCAAGTTCAGTTGAGATTCATTGCTTGCAAACACCTGCCTAGCATAAAGTTCAGCGTCTTATTGTCCAGATAAGTTCAGTGGCCTCTTGGGGAGACCTTCTATGGTCTGAAGATAGGTCTTAGGCAACTTTTTTTCCTGTAAATCTGGAGTTTTTTCTTTCTGACATGTTCTGTTAGCAACTCTACTGAAAGCAAAATAGCAATGTAAACATTCAAGCTGTGCAACACTTTCTTTTGGCATCATTCGAATAACCATCTATTTCTGTAAGTTCTTTTGTTTGTTTTTGTTCTTTTAATGATCTCTTAGAGATTACTCCCTGCCTGTCTCACCTGGTTAGGAACACCTGTCTGCTTTAACTTTGCCCTTGAGGTCCAAGATGTCTGCTGCAATTGCGTTCACATGGCAGCCAGCAGGATGGAGATGAGAGGAGAAAGCAAGACCTTTGAGCTTAGGAGATATCAATGGATGTTGAACATCCCACTGATCAGAGCTTGGCCACAGGACCATACTTAGGTCCAGGGAGTTACTTTTATTCTGTGTCTGAAAAGAATGGGTTTGAGGATACTTAGTGCTATAGCTCACCCTTTAGCTGCCCATACTTCCCCAAACATTACCCATCTGCTTGTCCTCAAGGGATAAAGCCCAAGCAGGCTGTGCCAGTATTACTAGTTCAAGTCCCCCTTTCTCATCCAGCTTCCTGCTGGTGTGCCTGGGAAAGCAGCAGATGATGACCTGAGTGCATGGGCTCCTGCTACCCTCATGCAAGACCAGGATGGAATTCCAGGACCTAGATTTGACCTGACCCCAAGTTTGGTTGTTATGGCCCTTGAGGGGGTGCTCCAACAGATTAAGAGATCTTTTTTATATGTTCTTCATTCTGCCTTTCAAATAAATTACTACAGCTTTAAAAAGAAAAATGGGTCAGTTGTGTGGCCACAGCAATAAAGACGCCACTGGGACACCTGCAACACATATTGGAGTGCCTGTATTTCAGTCTCCAGCTCCACTAACAGTTCCGGCTTCCAGCTAATGCATATCCTGGAAGACAGCAGGTGTGGCTCAAGTGCTTGGAATTGGGTCCTGTCCATCAATATGGCAGACCCAGGTGGAGTTCCAGACTCTCTCTTGATTGATAGATACTAGAGAGGGAACATAAGGGATATAAACCTTTATTAAAATTTTAATAAGAGGAAGAAGTGATGACTTGACAGCTGACAGGTGTGCAAAGGGACCGTTGAGAATGAGGCCACTTGCTTGATTAGATAACTGGGTGGATGTAATCCCA